ACAAACTGTCACAGTCAAAATAGACTTCTAGAAGAGAAAACGAAATGAAGATTAGTGCACACAGGAGAAAATTGTATAGGGTACGTAGAAGTATACATATATTTTATTTTTGAATGTACCCAAGGTTTCCACCGTCAGACACAGTGACTAATCCCTTATTTAAAGTTGCTTGATACTCAAAGTCAAGAATCGAACACTTCCCTTCCACTCAATCACACTCTCATGTTGTAGAAGTATACATATAGTATAACTAATATAAATGACTTCTACATTCAAAAAAATATAAATGACTTCTTTTGCCCTCTATTTTCTTTTGCCCTTCGAATATAAATGACTTCATAATTATTTGCTAATAATTTAGTACTCCTAAAGTCAAGCAACTAGCTGATTCCTATGACTAAAATAGTATGTATCGAACACAAACAAATCCAATCCTTGAAAGATGATAATTATAAATTAAAGAACAAAATTCTGGTAGGGTTACGTTGCACGTAATTAATCAAATAAAGATGGGCTGTGAATTGAAGGAACAATGGATCGGAGCTGGCGGGGGCCTCTCATCTTTCAAATTCCACGTCCCTTTGCTTAATCTTCATATATACATAATTAATTTTTGTTTAGAAAATTGACGCTTTTGACCCTTAATTATTGCGATTTAGTCTTTTTTTTATACACCTTAACCTATAAGTTAGTAATATATATTCAACGTAATCCCAACCCTAATTGGAATATAATGACACTCAAACATGAAATCTTCATTACAGAAAGTAACAATGATATCATCATACCACAAAGTTTTTTGCCGATTTAGTCTTTTTTAGTTTTTAATTTTGAATTATATTCAAGTGGATAATTTTACCCGACCTTTTAGCATAACTCTTAAATATCAACAATGCTTGGAAATGTAAAATTTGGAGAGATTTTATGTACTTTTAAACTATCCGTTACATTTAATTTTTTCCCCATCAATCAAATAAGTTATCATCTCCATTTAACAAATAACATAAATTACATTAAAAAAATTTAAATTTTAAGTTCTCTGATTATTCTATCAATATTTAATGTTAAGGGTTGTGTAAAATTAGCTACTTCGAAAATAACTGAGAAGAAAAGTATGGTGTGCCTATAATATAATTAAGGGAGGAATTACCACTATAATTCATAATTTACATTTTCTCTTGTTTTGTATTAGCAGCGTGTCAAAGACATGATTCAGATTCTAATATTCTATGCGTTTTTCACTTTTTCACGTTAGAGATCGGTTTAAGGAAAATGGTATAGTCGTTTAAAAGCTGAACAATTAATTAATTAAGTTTAATTTAATTTTATAAATTAAAAATATAGAAAAAGAATTAAAGGCAATAAGATATTGTATTACGTGTGTCCACGTACTGCACATTTCATTTTCAACTACAGTAAATTATTCTAACTTGTCGGACTCCGATCGAATTTTACTTTTGTTGTTTCACAACTAGACTTTTGGCCAAATTAGCCAAAGTATCCTACTCCATATATAATAAAATATTCTTTATATATTTTATAATAAAATATTCTTTATATATTTTTTGAATGGGGAGAAAAATTTGTAATTTATTATTACTTTTAATCCATTACATAAGTATCAACCTGCATATATCATCTGAAAGCATATGTTTCTATTTAATAACTCAAAAATTACACATGAAAGGTAAATTATACTGAAAAGATATTGTGTGATGACCTTAATAAAGAGGGTGTTAGCAAGAATCGAAATAATAATAATAATAATAATAATAATAATAATAATAATAATAATAATAATAATAATAATAATAATAATAATAATAATAATAATAATATGTGTTTAATCGTTTCAAGCTTCATCATCTTATAATAATATTTTGTTGGTGACTAAAATTCTACCAGGATAAAAGGTTCGGTATGGCTTAGGCAAGAAGGTCAAAGAAGAAACGTAGCGTTTCACATTTTATACACAAACTAACTAGTACTCATATAAATATTGAAAAATAAATTTTATATAAAAAGAAAAAGAAAAATTTTATAAGTTTTAAAAATATTAAAGAAAAATGCAATTCACCCCTACATTTGCCACTACACTTTTATTGACAAATTATATCATGGATCAGGCCGGACCTATATTGGATCATACATCCAGATTAGTATAAATCAAATATGAGTGCAAGTTCATTATAAAAAATTAACAATAATGCAGGTTCATTAAAATGACATCAATTGATTAATTATCACTTAATAATATTTTTAATAAATAAATTTAATGTATAAAAAATTTATTGTAAAAAATATCGCGTTAAGATTTTTTTAAAATAACACATATATTGTTTTTCTTCTTCAATATATCATTTCAATAATTGTGTGGTGGACCCATATTAGTGATTTAATGAACATGCACTAATTTAATAAATTTGTAGTAGTTACTTAATTAACGTATATTAGTGACTTAATGTATCTAAAATAGTGACTTGGTGAATTTATAGTAGTAATTTAGTGAACCTGCAATAATGACTTAATGTATATATATTTTAAAAAAATTATATCAAATTACCACCGTATAGGATACTAAGGGTGTGTTTGGAAACCCGGAAAATGATTTCCATAAATCATTTTTCGGGTTTTCACTGTTTGGAAAGAAGGAAAATGTAAAGTCAACGGAAAATGAGGCATTGGTCAATGGAAAATGAGCGGCATTGTTTTTCCGGAAAACAACTTCCCCTTTTTTTAAGGGGAAGTCATTTTCCGGATGTTGACTTCTTCACTTTCAACACTTTCGCGTTAGTTTCTTCTTCATCTGCTGGCTTCGGAAACAAGTACTCACTGGTTTCCGGCGTCCTTCCGAAAACCAGTGAGCACTGGTTTCCTTTAAGCTTTGGTTTCCAGGGGAAATCTGGTTTTCGCCGGAAACCAAAGGTTTTTTTTTTTAAAAAAAAATAAAATACCCATCTGGTTTCCGCACGAAAACCAGACATGATTTCCGTATCGGAAACCATGACATGGTGTCCGTGCGGAAACCAACGAAGATCTTTTTATTTTATTTTATTTTATTTTATTTTAAATTTACTTATTTTTTTTTAATATTATAGGATTATATTGAAAATTATTTTAGTATTATTATTATAAATATTTTTATATTCTAAATAAAATAATTAAAATATTTATTTATACAATTCTACTCATTTTTCAGAAAATGAACCAAACACACCAATGTAGTTTTCCATAATGCAACCAAACACCGGAAAAGAAAATGTTTTCCGGAAAATGACTCATTTTCCAGAAAATATTTTCCAGAAGTCATTTTCCTGCTTTCCAAACGGACCCTAAGTAATCGCCAAATCTTGAGACAACTCTAGCCAAGTTGGTTAGATTGTTGACTTGGTAATCACAAGGTTTCGTGTTTGATTCCATGTGAGAGCTGTTTATTGGCCTTATTGGTCTGAGGCGATTAGCGTGGACAACCTAGGTTGGTACCCGATGATTTATCTCATTGTGGTCCTTTGTCAGCTAGTGTCACAAGGCAAGTTTCACTCAAAGCACTATTTGGATAACAACTGCGAGCTTTTCCATAAATCAAAGTAATCGCCCATCAGAAGAATAGCACATGCATGTGAAAGCCTAATCAATGATAACCTATTGAATATGTAAAATTATGACTCAATTGCACTTTTTCTTTACCAGTTTAAGTGGTCTAAATGGAGCGTTGTTTAATTTGGAGACTCAATTACACTATTTAGTCCGCTTAAAGGTCTTATTTGACAATTTTTCTAACAAAATTATAAAAACAATGTGTTTCATTTATATAGTTATATATAACTAACCTACGTTACTATACTTACATTAAATAAAAATATTTATATTTGACAAAACAAACATTTTTTTTAAAAAAAATTCTAATGTCATGCATCTAATAATGTTTTTTTTAAAAGATAAAATGAATTATTATTTTATTGAAACAAAAAAAAAATGCTTAAAGTTTTTTAAACATGCAAATATTATATTAAAATTAAAATATTAAATTATCAAAGCACGAATAGATACAATCAAACTTTTCCTAATTAAAATATTTTTTTTTTGTGACGAGAAAAATTCACAATCACTATTTAAATCTAATGTGACGGTTTCGATTGAAAGAATATTTGTAAGAATTAAACTCGTGACTATCTAATTACAAAAATCATGTTTCACCTACTCAATCAGCCATATCAACTTGTTACATTTTCTCTTGTTACGTGAACAGGGGTGGGGTGCATGATTGACAATTTGCTGGTAAAATAGTGGCTAGCTTTCACCAGAAAATTTAATTTGATGAGTTTCATCTCATGGGTTACACTGCCAATCTACCATGGCTAGCTTCTTGTTGAAGAAAATATTTATATTTGTATTCATATTTACATTTCTCATTTAATCTTAACAATTTTTTTTAATGAGAGTGTTATTATTTCTGGTAAGTTTTATCAATTGGTAGACGGTAGTACATTTAAAAGAGTTAAAAATTGAACTTTTAATCTCTTAACTCAAAGTAATAGATGAATGTGCCCAAACTATAAAATTTTATGTCTAAAGACAAATATGAGAATAATCCTAATTAAGTTGACCAGATTATTGACTTAAAGAAACGGCGCGCGGTCCATGATATAACGGTCCATGATATAACGACCCATCAATTATGGAAAAGTTTATCTTTTGTGGTATTTGCTAAGTAAGTTCATTGAACTTCATTTACTTGCCATGCCAAAGTAAAAAGTCATTTATTGAAACGATGAAAAGCTTAATTAGTTAGGAAGTCATCACTGTCATTCTAACAAAACAATCCTAACTGGAATATAATTGCCATTTTTGATGGGCAAGAATTTCCAAATTATGGTGGTTCCTTGCACACAATTTGAAAATCCATTCTTGTTATTGTAATTTGTAAGGAAACTGTGGGCCCCACTCCCTCTTTTTCAAAATCTATATAATGCAGTTGAGTCTCTCAGTTCCCTCAGGACTCTCCTCCATAAAGAGAAACACACAAAACTCATCTTTGTTATATATACACAATACAAGTAAAAAGAATATAGAAAGAGAAGGCAAAAAGGACAAGGCAGAGGGGGCATTCTTTTCTCTTTCTTTCTTCCTGATGTTGATCAGAGGGAAAACATAAGAAAAAAAAAAGTGGGAAAGCAAAAGAAAGAAAAGTAGCAGTGAAACATCAAACATTATTAGTTTAGGTTTTGATAAAGAACATGTTGGGGTTTAAGAATTGCAGAAGCCATTTCCTGGTGGCGTTTGTGGTGGTGATTTTCTCATCATTGGCCTGTGGTCCAGTGAGAGCCACAGTTTCCTATGATGACAAAGCCTTCATCATCAATGGCAACAGAAGGATTCTCATCTCTGGTTCTATTCACTACCCAAGAAGCACTCCTGAGGTACCAAAATGCTTTAATTTTTCCCAACAAATTTCTTCATTTTCCCCACTTTCCCTATGTTTCCATGCATTCCTGAGATGTGGGTATATCTTGTTTTGCTGCAATTTCATCTATTTTGGTCAAAAAATTTCATCTTGGACTCATCAGCAAGTACCCATGCACATGTTTGCCAATTCTTTATTTATAAATTAAAGCTGTGTGCTTTGTATATTTTATGCCATATTGACAAATGGGCATTTCTTATTTTGTGGTAGTTCTAATTTTTTCAATGGGTTTTGTTATTATTTTTAGCTAAAATTGTACTTTTTGGGGGTTTGGTTTGTTTGGTTTAGATGTGGCCTGGGCTTATACAGAAGGCTAAAGATGGAGGATTGGATGTTATACAGACTTATGTGTTCTGGAATGGGCATGAACCATCTCCTGGAAAAGTAATGCCTTAACTCTATTAATCTTTAATTTTCCATGCCCATTATATTATATGCTATTTGTATTTAAAATATGAAATTTTAATTTTTTTTTAAATTTTTGTTATTTTTCCAGTACAACTTTGAGGGGAGATATGATTTGGTCAGGTTCATCAAACTGGTGCACCAAGCAGGGCTCTATGTTCATCTTCGTATCGGCCCTTATATTTGTGGAGAATGGAATTTTGGGTATGATTTTATATGAGCCTGTATATATAATGCATATTTAGTTCTTATTATTATTAAAAATAGAAAACTGAGTTGCTGTATTATATTGTGGTGCAGGGGATTCCCTGTTTGGCTAAAATATGTGCCTGGGATGGAATTTAGAACAGACAATCAGCCTTTTAAGGTTGTCTACCTAATTGTCTTTGTTCATAATTTTATAGTTTTCTTAAATGTTTCCTAAACTACGTTTCGGTTTGGTTGTTGACTGTGATTAAAAGGTGGCTATGCAAGGATTTGTTGCGAAAATTGTCAACACGATGAAGTCAGAGAGGCTGTTTGAACCTCAAGGTGGACCAATTATTATGAGTCAGGTTAGAAGATGGATATTATTGGTTTGTCTTTATTGTGCTTCTAGAAACCCAAACTCTTTTTACTGCAGATTAAAAGATATCTCATGAATTCTTTACTGCAGATTAAAAGGATTTTCTTTAAAGTAATCTCGTGAGTTCTTTACTGCAGATTGAAAACGAGTATGGACCGATTGAGTGGGAAATCGGTGCTCCAGGTAAAGCCTATACAAAATGGTTTACACAAATGGCTGTGGGTCTCAACACCGGTGTTCCTTGGATCACGTGCAAACAAGAGGATGCCCCCGATCCCATGGTAAGAAACCTCAGCTCGATCGGTCTCTTCTTATGATTCGAGTATGAATCCATGAAAATTTTGATGTCCTTTTAATTATTCCAGATAGATACTTGCAATGGATTCTACTGTGAAAACTTCCGGCCACGCAATCCCCACAATCCCAAGATGTTTACAGAACTCTGGACTGCATGGTAAGCCTCGAGAATTCAAACTATGGGCACTTCTCTTTCTCTCCTAGCTAGCTTTATTATGTTCTTCTTCTTCTTCAGGTACACAGAATTTGGAGGCCCCGTTCCTCGAAGATCTGCAGAAGACACCGCTTTTGCAGTTGCAAGGTTCATCCAAAATAATGGCTCATTCTTCAACTATTACATGGTTGGTTGTCACGCTTTTCTTGTTTAGATTTTTTTTTACAGTCAAAGCGTTAATTTTTCCCCAAAAAGGTCTTACTTGTTTAACTGTCTATCGTGTCTTCAGTACCATGGAGGGACAAATTTTGGCAGGACTGCTGGTCGGTTTATTGCAACTAGCTATGACTATGATGCCCCGCTAGATGAATATGGTATGATACACCAGATCATATATATCATGATTAAAGTTTAAAATGAAAAGAATATAGAGCAAAAGATGATTAGATATATATGATGTACGTTATAGGGCTACCAAACGAACCGAAATATGGGCACTTAGCAGAATTGCATAAAGTGATCAAGCAAGCTGAGCCAGCTTTAGTTTCGTCGTATCCCACAGTGACATGGCTTGGCAAATATCAAGAGGTAATTGTTGGTCGGTTTCATCGTCTTGACTACTTTTCAAACATAGGTACCTGTCCTTAAAACCTTAACAATGTTTTTTGATTAGGCTCATGTCTTTAGTCCAAAGTCGGGGGGGCATTGTGCTTTGTTCCTCTCCAACTACGACCCCCAATACTCAGCAAAAGTGACGTTTTGGAACAAGCAATACAATCTGCCTCCTTGGTCAGTTAGTATTTTCCCCGACTGCAAGACCGAGGCTTTCAACACCGCGAGGGTAAGGAAATTAAAGAAAATGGACTATCTAGTTCTGATTTTCGATCATTTTTAATGTGATTCTAATCTGCAGGTAAGTGTGGGAAGCTCTCAGATGAAGATGGTACCCGTAAAGAGTGGATTCTCTTGGCAATCGTACATTGAAGATACCCCAACCGCTGATGATGGGGAGTCGCTTGTAGCAAATGGACTATGGGAGCAAGTAAATGTAACCCGAGACAACTCAGACTATTTGTGGTACATGACAGAGTAAGTATTCGATATTTCCATTTCTCGAAGAATCAGTACTACTAAAACTAATATAATCTCGCGATTGGTTTCTCAGTGTGAACATTGCATCTAACGAAGGATTTCTAAAGAATGGAAAAGACCTCGTTTTAACTGTTATGTCTGCTGGGCATGCATTGCGCGTTTTCATTAATGGTCAATTATCAGGTATTCCTTGGCTAAACGAACCGTATTTTTTAAGGTTTTGGCTTCTCCATCTTCATTTGCTTATTTCGTTGTGCCAGGAACTGTGTATGGGGAACTGGAAAATCCAAAACTAACGTTTACTGGGAATGTAAAACTAAGGGCTGGTGTTAACAAGATTTCGCTGCTCAGCTCTGCTGTTGGCCTCCCGGTTAGTTTTCGACTAATTTTTCCAAGCTAATCCTAGTTTTACACTACTTAAAACCTATGTGTTTTTCAGAATGTTGGCACGCATTATGAGCAATGGAATACTGGAGTTCTCGGCCCTGTCTCGTTGAGTGGTCTTAATGAAGGGACAAGAAACTTGGCTAAGCAGAGATGGTCTTACAAGGTTTTGATTTCTTCGTTTAAAACTCAGAATCTTGTAAATTTCTGATGCCAACAATAAACAAAACCGAAACCTTGAATTGTTTGTTTGCAGGTTGGGTTGAAAGGCGAATCCTTAAGTCTCAATACTATGAGTGGAAGTTCCTCGGTGGAATGGGTACAAGGTTCCCTTCTGGCTAACAAACAGCCCCTAACCTGGTACAAGGTAAACTACTCTGATACTCTGATACCATGTTATAATTTAAGATTAGGTACTAAAAAACTGAATCCAATCAGTTAATTAGTCTAACCCATGACCTTATAAACCCATATGTCTGTCTCTTATTTTTTCAACGTGGGTCACTCTTAACAATACAAAAGCAAGAAATGTGTGCATAATTGAAACATGTGCTCCATCTCAACTAAAAGCCTAAGCTGATAGTTGGATTGCACAATAATGGTTATATGCTCAACAGTTTATGTTAAACTGGAATTACGGGTTGTTGTTCCAGGCAATTTTTAACGCACCGGGAGGAAACGACCCGGTGGCGCTGGACATGAGCAGCATGGGAAAAGGCGAGATATGGATAAACGGGGAAGGCGTCGGGCGCCACTGGCCTGCATACACTGCCCATGGTAGCTGTGGTCAGTGCAGCTATGCTGGAACTTATAGTGAGACCAAATGCCAGACAAATTGTGGGCAGCCTTCTCAAAGATGGTAATAAATAAATAAATAAATAAGCCCTCTCTACCTGCACTTTGCCAAATACAAGAATGTTTAATTTGCTGAAATCTTTACTATATATATATAATCGTTGAATTTCAGGTATCATGTCCCGCGATCATGGCTGAAACCATCTGGGAATCTCTTAGTTGTGTTTGAAGAATGGGGGGGCGACCCGACTGGGATTAAATTCGTTACAAGAACCAAGTAATAATTAGTGATCACAGATCAAGAAAGAAAGAGCTTTCTGAAAATCTTTCTTCTCTGCAATGTTAGTTTGAAATAAGAAGATATGAAGCAGGTTGGGATATACAACTATACAAGTATACAAGAAGCCATATACATAGCTAGAGATACAAGCATTATGTGTATATATTATATACAAAGCTACAACTTGTGGCTTACACAAATTTGGTATCAACAAAATTGTTGAATATGTAGAGGAGATGATGAAAGAGATGTATAATTTTAGAGCAATAAAGGTACCTTTTTTTTTTTTTTTTTTTTTTTTTTTGGTTGTAATATACACCAGAATTAATAATACAATGCTATTATTATCAAATTATTCTGCAGCTAATGATATGAGTACTCACTAGTTCATTAGCAGAGAACCAAATTTGTTGAAACCTAAAGAAAAAGGAAGAAAAAAACATGGCTTTCTTTACCCCTCTAACCCAATAACCAGGTTTCTCTAAGCCACAAATGGTAGCTTTTTTTTTTTTTTTTTTTGGGGATGACGAGAAACCTGTTTTGCACTGAGTAAACCTCGCCTTGTGACTCTTGTCGGCAAAGGATCACGAGGAATTAAACTAGCTTAGGTTGTCCATAGCTAACCGGCTCAAAGAAAATCAAAAGGCTACTCTTGGGAGTGGATCTTGTAAAGAATATTATATATTTTTTAGATGGTAAGTCTATTAAAAATTTAAAATAGCAGTAATAATAAAGAATATTATATATGCAATTTTTTTTTTTTTAAGTGAGATATACAATCTATCTACTAATATAAATCCATAACTAATTAATTATAAATTCATAAACTTTGCAACTTTAACATTACCATTAAATCCAATATATCGTCTATTAGTCCTTGCCAAATGAACCTATACAAAGGCATGTATGAGGTGAGGTGAAATTCAGACCCATTCTAATCCTAATTCCTAACTGAATTGCCATTTTTGATGAGCAAAATTTTCCAAAAAATATGGATCCTTGTACTCATTTTCGAAGTCCCCGAGATTGTGGGCTCCATTTCCTATTCTCAAAAGCTATATTAGTTTGGTTTTAATTCACTGGTTGGATGAATTGAAGAAGATGGTGATGTTTAAGAATTGCAGAAGGCATTTTGTGGCGGTGGTGTTGTTCTTACTGGCGTGTGCTCCGGCCAGAGCCAAAGTTACCTACGATGACAAAGGTTTCATCATCAATGGACAGAAAAAGATTCTCATCTCCGGTTCTATTCACTACCCAAGAAGCACTCCTGAGGTATTTTTGGTTCCATGCATGCATGCATTACGGGAAAACCCGCAATTACTACCAGAAATTCGTTCCAGGTGAAATCCGTCCTGTGATCTTAACCAGCAAAGGATCACAAGGAGGTAAACCAGTCTAGGTTGTTTTCAAACTGAGAATGAAGGCGAATAGACAGCTCCTATAAGGAGTTGAACTTGGAACCTTGTAGTCATTAAGCCAATTGTCCGACTAACTGGCTGGGGTTGCAATGCATGCATGGATTCACCAATTCTTTAATTATAAAAATGTGGGCATTTCTTATTTTGGGGTATGTAGGTCTAATTTTGTTGGTTTGGTTTAGATGTGGCCTGATATTCTAAAGAGGGCTAAAGAAGGAGGCTTGGATCTTATACAGACTTATGTATTCTGGAATGGACATGAACCATCTCCTGGAAAAGTAATGCCTGAACTATATATATATATAAACATTTTAATTTTACTTTTCTATGCCCCTTATTATATGCTGTTTGTATTTAAAATATGAAATTGTTAGTTTTTCAGTACTATTTTGAGGGGAGGTATGATTTGGTCAAGTTCCTCAAACTGGCACATCAGGCAGGGCTCTATGTTCATCTCCGCATTGGGCCTTATATTTGTGGAGAATGGAATTATGGGTAACATTATTTTATATTTAGTTATATATTATTATGATGTAAAGTGGGATATGATCCTAGCTTAATTGTATGAATTGTGGTGCAGGGGATTCCCTGTTTGGCTAAGATATGTGCCTGGGATGGAGTTTAGAACAGACAATAAGCCTTTTAAGGTTGTCTACTTAATTAATTTGTTCATATATATTTTGCTATATATTCTGGTTTGCTAAACTATGGTGATTACAACAAGGTGGCTATGCAAGGGTTTGTTGAAAAAATTGTGAACATGATGACTTCCGAGAAAATGTTTGAACCTCAAGGTGGACCTATTATTATGAATCAGGTTAGAATTGAAGGAATTGAAGATGGATCGTATATTTGGCTTAATTGTGTTTATCTACAACCATAGCTAATAACTATATATTGTCTTTGTGTTTTCTGCAGATCGAAAACGAGTATGGACCAGTGCAGTGGGAGATTGGTGCCCCAGGTAAAGCTTATGCAAAATGGTTTACACAAATGGCTGCCGGTCTCAACACTGCCCAACTCCCTTGGATCGTGTGTAAACAAGAGGACGCCCCCCCTCCCATGGTAAGTAGACTCTAGTTTTTTTTTGCTGATCAGATTGTTGATTTGATAACCACAAGATTACAAGTTTAATTCTCGGTAAAGTGGCCAATTGGCCTTCTTGGCAGGAGCCTGTCAATTATGGGCATCCTAGGCTGGTTTATCCCTGGCTGGCATTGCCAGCCAGGGTCATGGCTACATGTTAGCCTATTAGCGTTCTTGGCTCAATTCCATCAACTATGGGTATGTTATTAGACTACTTTACCCTTGCGGTCCTTTGCTGGCTCCGGGTTTTCCTAGTCTTGCTGCTGTGTGATTCAACACAATTCTCATCTTCTTGATACATACAGATTGATGCTTGCAATGGATTCTACTGCGAAAGCTTTCGGCCACACAATCCCAACACTCCCAAAATGTTTACAGAACTCTGGACTGCATGGTAAGCCTGGATGGCCTAGAAAAGATCGAATTATTCTAACTCTTTCTCTTTTGATTCACTCTTTGCTTGCTTGCTTCCATGAATTCAGGTATACAGCATTTGGAGGTCCGGTTCCTAGAAGATCTGCAGAAGACACAGCTTTTTCAGTGGCAAAGTTCGTCCAGAATAATGGCTCATACTTCAACTATTACATGGTTAGTTCTTACCCTGCAGGCGTATATGGTGATCAGATTTTTAAATTTAATTTCTTGGTCTTACTTGTTTAAGTGTTGTGTTTAGTTCCATGGAGGAACGAATTTTGGTCGGACTGGTGCTCTATTTCTTACAACTAGCTATGAGTACGATGCTCTTCTCGATGAATATGGTGTGTGACTATATATTATCTGTATGAATGATCAAAGCTTAAATTAAAGCTAGCAGAATATTAGATGATGATATGTATGTATATGCATGCAGGGCTACCAAATGAACCCAAATATTGGCACTTAGCAGAATTGCATAAAGTGATCAAGCAAGCTGAACCAGCCTTAGTTTCATCCTACCCCAAAGTCACATGGCTTGGCAAAAATCAAGAGGTAATTAATTATTACTTAGTTTCATCATTCTCGAACAACAAGCACTGAGTAAACCTGACCTTGTGACCCTAGCCGGCAAAGAACAGCCTATAGCGACGGACTAAAACAAAAAAAAAAAAGGTCAATAGACTATATATTCACTTGTAATGTTACCAAGTTAACTAACCATTATTATTATTATTTTTTTTTGAATCATAGGCTCATGTGTTTAGTGCAAAAACTGGGGGGCATTGTGCCTTGTTTTTGTCCAACTCCGACCCCCAAAATGCAGCAAAAGTGAGCTTTTGGAACAAGCAATATAATCTGCCTGCTTGGTCAGTCAGTATTTTCCCAGACTGCAAAACTGAGGCTTTCAACACTGCAAGGGTTCACGCCAGAGCCCCTCAGATAAAGATGGTACGAACCAATACCATATTGTCTTGGCAGTCCTACATCGAATATCCTCCATCCGTAGGTGATAAGGACACACAAGTAACAGATGGAATATGGGACCAAGTCGGTATGACCAGAGACGCCTCAGACTACTTGTGGTACACCACCGAGTATGTCCATCCATCTTTTTTTTTTCTTTCTTTTTCTTGAGTAACTTATATGGTTGCCAAGTCAAAAATCCGTTAACCAAGAAGTCCAATAAGTGCGAGTCGAACTTGTAACCTTATGGTTACCAAGTCAACAGTCTGACTAACTTGGCTGGAGTACAGTTGCCCAATGCCCATACCTAACCAACCTAGGTTCCATAGCTGATCGGAGTAAACCAAGAAGGCCAACAGGCCACTCCTACTGGGAGTTGAACTTGTAACCTTATAGTTACCGAGTCAATTGATTGGATTGCCCATTTCCATGCATCTTCTACCTAGCTTGCTAGCTTTGCTTCATATCAGAAATCTTCCATGTTATATATGCAGTGTGAACATTGCACCTAATGAAGGATTTCTGAAGGATGGAAAAGAACCAGTTCTAACTGTCCCGTCTGGTGGACATGCACTCTACGTTTTCATTAACGGTCAACTGGCAGGAACTACATATGGGACACTGGCAAACCCAAAACTAACATATTCTGGGGGTGTAAAACTAAAGGCTGGTGTTAACAAGATTTCCCTTCTCAGTGCCACAATTGGTCTCCCGGTTAGTCACTTAATTAGTTTTCAACTCTACTGTTAGTTACGCTTTTACAGTACTTACAACCTAACCTATACATGTATGTATAATGTATGTATGTGTGTTTCCATTTCAAGAATGTTGGCAAGCACTATGAACAATGGAGTTATGGAATTCATGCCCCAATCTCATTGAGTGGTCTTAATGAAGGGAAAAGAGACTTGTCTAAGCAGAAATGGTCTTACAGGGTAGGGTTTCCTCTTTTCATTTCTTTTTTTTTCACGTAACCGAGAGAATGAAACTAGCTAGCATCATTACTCAAAGGTATGCACTGGATAAACCCTACTTTGTGACCTTAGCTGGTAAAAGACTACAAAAGGTAAACCAGCCTAGGTTGTTTTGAAAAGGACACTCTAACCGACAAAGGATCACAGGGAGGTCAACCAGCCTATACTAGGCTGTCTATAGCTGACTGGCTCAAACCAAGAACTCCAATAGGTCACTCCACTGAGAGTCGAACTTGGAACTTTGTAATTAACGAGCCAACCGTCTAACCAACTTGGGCTCGATTATTACCTCATTTCATTGAATGGTTGACATACAGGTTGGTATGAAGGGTGAATCCTTACATCTGAATACTGTAAGTGGAAGTTCCTCTGTGGGATGGGCACAAGGTGCACATCTGACTTACAAACACCCCCTAACCTGGTACAAGGTAAATTGTAGCTAACACAACTCAAACCTAAGCAATATTACTGTACTATATATATATCTACTGGGCTTATAATTATCCATTCCAGGCTACTTTCAATGCTCCTGACGGAAAAGAACCGCTGGTGTTAGACATGGGCAGCATGGGAAAGGGTCTGGTATGGATAAACGGTGAAGGCGTCGCCCGCCACTGGCCGGCAAACACCGGTCGTGGCAAATGTGGTACGTGCAGCTATGGTGGATTTTACAGTGAGACAAAATGCCTGACCAATTGTGGGCAGCCTTCTCAAAGATGGTAATTAAGCCTTCTCTCATCTCCACTTGTCACGTACAATATAATAATAATAATGTTTGGTGAATTAACTGTTCGGGCCATTCGGGTTAATTTATTGAATTTCAGGTATCATGTGCCGCGATCATGGCTGAAACCAACTGGGAATCTCTTAGTTGTGTTTGAGGAATCGGGCGGCGACCCCAAGGGAATTTCATTGGTTAGAAGAACCAAGCTTTGAGCAAATTAAAATCTTTCTTCAATTCGAACTCTGCAAATATAATCTTTCAATTCTGAAGATATGATATTCAACCAGCCATGTTATAAGCCTACCATTTGTGGCTTATAGCTTAGAGAAATCTGGTTTCAACAAAATTGTTATTTCGCCCCAAAACTCTTTTAATTTGCTGGTTGAATTTCTTTTAATTTGCCCCAATGCCCCACATTTTGGCCCCGACAAATTAAAATTGTTATTTCAATTCATTCATTTGTTGGAATGTCATTTGTGAATGGAATAATTTGGGAATGATTGCATTGTTTATTTCGAATCAATAACAACTTAGGAACAAGCAAGATCACACACCCTTTGACATAATTAAGGTGGATTTAATTTCCTTCCAAAACATTTTCAATTAAAATATTATCACTTTCCTGCATACAAGATATTTAGTTGTCTCTATTATTAAGAGGATTGTAAGTATGTATTTTCTATTAATTAAGTATAATTGATGGAACTAATTTTTTTTTTAATTTATATAAAAAAATTTTAAAAACTAACTCAATATATAGGGATTAAACAACAATAATATAACGAGCAAGAGAAAATATTATTGTTACGAGGATGTGGAATTTTTTCTGTGCAGTCTGCCTACAAACTGATCGTAGATCAACATGAGAGCAACACATATAGTGATTGGAAACGTATTTGGAGACGAAGGGAACTGCTTCGTCTCCAGCCAATCATGGAGATGGTCCCTTTCGTCTCCATGGTCGGGCCGGAGACAAAGGGTCCCCTTCATCTTCGGCGAGCCATGCGGGTTTTTTTTTTTTTTTTTTTTTTTTTTTAAATAATTATTTTCTTTATAATTTTAAAAAAAAATTAATAAAAGAACCGACACGTTAGCACATTAACAAGTACACAAGTCATTTTAGGTTAAATTTTATGAATTTGTATTGTTCAGAGATCTAATTATTATTATTATTATTTTTTTTTTTTTTGAGTTCAGTGACTTAAATGCACTTTGGGGGTAAATGAATGGCCTATTCAACCCTTATTCAAAAAAAAAAAAAAAAAAAAAAAAAAGCCAACAAGAATTTGTAATTGGCCAAATCCCATTTGATGTAGATAGCCTTATTCTAATCCTTGAGAATTAGGATGCTATTACACCTCGGCTCATTCATGGTCTATTGACTCTATTCCCTATACGACGGCAATTTATATCATGCACCACGGCGCGCGTTGCATTGTGCGTTCAGATGAAAAATGACGTCGTTTCTATTATTTATTTATTTTTTTTGAAATTTCGCGTACCTAGTGTTTTGGCAGTTAATTTTCCTTTAAAAAAATCTCATGTTTAAAAATGTACATAATGTTATACTAGAATACACATAATTGTATACATGAATGTACATAATTGTATAACAAAATACACATACTTCTCAAAGATGGTAATTAACTCCTCTCTCCGCCCACTTGCCATATACAGTAACAATATTTGGTAAATTAACAGTTCGGATCATTCCTGTGAATTTCAAATATCAGGTACCGCAATCATGACTGAAACCAACTGGGAATCTCTTAGTTGTGACCCAAGGGAATGCCATTGGTTAGAAGAACCCAGCATTGGGCAAATTAATTAAAATCTTTTCAATTGTGAAGATATGCAGCAGCTTGGGATGGTAGGCTTATTTGTTGTAATGTCATTTGTGAAGATATGTTCCCTTATTCATTCAACCCTAGCCCAATCAACCTACTCTTTACCAATTTAGTGCAATCAATTCCTAAGTTGTAGCCAAATCAGGATATATGGATGCATGCAATGTAGCCTGTGGGTTACCCAATTTACAAATGTAGGGAGTCTACTTTAAGAGCATAGACTCCCCCACCCTCACTTCTCCAGATTTGACATTGAGATTATCATGAGCTAGAAATTAATTTTTAAAAAAAAAAATTTAAAAAACGTTGTGACATTTTTATAATTATGATAGTACATTTAAATACATTTAATAGTCACATGATGATAAATAATATTGCATTATTATATATTCTAAGTGCATTGTACTTTCACATATTTGCAATTGCATTACAAAATAGACGAATAAAATTAATATGTATGTTCTCATGATTTGAGATTATTAATTCTCACAAGGTATATATATATCTGTGTGTGTGTGGGGTACTCGAGGAAAAATTTGGGTCACGAGCAACGATATGGAGAAGGGTTTGACTTTTTTGTTGATCAAACATTGGTAATGATGCTTAATTAACCACAACCCATATTGTAATTAATGAGATTAATTATGCTTATTTGGATGGAATCACTATAATAATAACAGTACTGCCTGCATTAATTATTCAATTGCTACTTAGTCAATGCTTCATTCACCCCCTCCATTAACCTTTATGACCAGAATATAGATTTTGTTCATAACTACTTTTTCACCTCATAAAGAATCAATACCACTAATTTAGTTCACAATAAAATATTTTTTTTTAAAAAAAAAAATCTTTAAATTTGTGGGAAAACATATTTTACCTTAGCTTGTTTGATTAGATTACTTAATTAATTTTTTATTTTTTTTAGTCAGGCCATTAGGTGTCATGAGCAAGTCCTGGCCATATTGATTTTTTTTATATGGAGGTTCAGGAGAGCCCACTCACACCAACCAAGCTAGTTTATTTAATTAATTATTTTATCGTACTACATTATTTTATGATATTTTAACTTTTATTCTCATTATAGGATCATACGTAATCATTCTAATTTCACCATACTACCAAATATGGAAAATATTTTCACCAAAATCTATTATCATTACCAAGTACAGAATATTTGATTTTCATTCTGATTCTAATTCCTAGGTAGGAACCAAACACACCTTAAGGATTTCATCGGCTTAATTATTTTACTTTGAGTCAGGTTGGTTTGTTGTTTAACATTGATTGGTGGATTCTTAAAATTAAACAGTAACTCCCTACAAAAGCAGGACTGACCAATTAGAATTCCGGTAAATGTTCTGCAGTAAATATTTATAATAAAAAAAGTGCAAATAATGATATGATGAAAGGTAATTAGGGTTGCGGAGAAAACATCTTAATCCGACACAAAAAGAGAATTAGCATCATTAATCTTTTAGAGCCACCTTTGAGACATCAAATCTTTGTACAGTCTTCAATCTGCACTGCATTTCAAGAAGATTTTAGATAAAAAGATGAGAGATTAATTGAGTGATTAAAAATAAATTTATTAAAGTTAGTTACACTGCTTTACCAAAGAAGTTTATTTATGATTTAAAATATATATGGATGAGTCGTGATTTGTGACCACTAATATAATTAACAATAAAATAATTAGATATTTAATTATTTTTAAAAAATAATATACAAGTACAACTACATATAACATGCATGATGTGATACTTTAGTTAAACAATGTATGTGTATTGTGTTTAGGTAAAGCGGTATACCAAACTACTTAGATAGTACAAATCTAGTCGAGATTAATATTCAATAATTCCTTTGAATTAAAGTGTTAAATATGTCCAGATTGATAAATTTACATCGAATACAATAAATTAGTATAATTATGTTTGTTAAATCAACAATAATTAAACATGTTTAGTGTTTGGATTCCAGAATATAATGCGCCAAACAGTTCCAAGAACACATATGGGGCATAACTAGCACTTGACAAACGTCTTGTTGTGAACACATTAATGCAAACCTCAGCAGATATTTTACAAATTTGAAAAACATTTTTGGTTTTGGGACATGACATAAAGACAATAAAGAAAGATGAACAATAGTTTACCACTGATGACCTGATGATGCCTAGATCACTTATAACATGAATTCAGATTTTTTTAATTATTATACTTAAAATTGTATTGTAATGGTGGGGTTTGACCGAGTCCAACCCCTGTTCGATTCGAGACATGACGTTGTGGTTAAATGGTTAATGTCTACATATTTATCACCCATTGGTTTTAAATAGGATATAACTTTGCAGTAATTTACAGCAGTCACATGATGGAGAAATCCAATTTAATATTTTGTCAATTTTTGTTCGGAATTCAAAGTTTACCTATTTTTATCTAAACTACTCCAATTCTATCTATTTTAGTCAGAAACCTTGATATAATGTAGGAATTGTGAAACCTTGAAATTTTACTTTGATGACCATTATTCATTGACAATAATATATATATGAATGATATCTTGATCAAATAATATAATGTTTCATGTTACTTATTTCTTGATATTGGAACTTCATTTTATATATACACATTGAGTCTACACCATTGATTTAATCATGGCCATACATTCGTGTTCAGTTGGTGGGCCGTTGATTTACCTGATTCACATGTGAGGTTGGTGAAAGGAATCATCAACATATTATTGGTGTTTTAATTTGGCATATATCACACTACTATCCTTCTTCCTTGGTATACATTATCCACGTCTTCTATGGTGTTCTTAGGAAAAATGGTGTTTAATGTAGAATGAGCAGTCAAATGATTTATGAATTTTATTGTTGGTAATTATGTATCAGGAGGGTCAGGTGAGAACATGTTTCTTAAGTAAAAAGTGAGTAATGATCTTATTCATTTAATTTAGATAGATCAACCGTTAAGAGTTGTTGAAAAATAATGAGACAATTAGTAGTGAGTCAATTTTATAAATATTGCAAACTTGAAAGTTTGTAATGATTATAAAATTGACGCGGTATTTTTTTTTTTTTTTACTGAAACCCTATACCTTGATAGGTGGTTGTGATTATTGATCCTCATTTTGTACCGAAAGACCATAATCTCATCTGAATCATCATCATCTATATATATATATATATATATATATATATATATATATGTATGTGTGTGTGTGTGTGTGTGTGTGTGTGTGTGTGTGTGTGTGTGTGTGTGTGTGTGTGTGTGTGCATGTGCATGCTAAATTGGTACTCTCAATTGGATAGAGTACTTGAACGGGTACTTGGTTCAAGGGTACTTGTTACTATGTATGTTTATGGTTATGTTTCTTGATCTTATGTACTAAAATTGATATTCTGTAAATAAATTTTGTTAATGAACTGACTGAATTTTTACGTCATAAATAAGTGACGAGTATCTTAAGCATTAAACATTTTTTAAAAAGAAAACAAGTGTAGCAATCACCCCGATAATGTGGGACAGAGGTGGATATGGGGCAGTTGCAACTTTTGGGGCAGGGAAGTATCATCAAACAAGGAGGACACATATATGGAACAGAAGTTTTGAGATTGTTGTTTGGTAGACCACTTGGGCTCCTTTTTTGTTTCCTCATCTTCTCTTAGGTACCACCCCCCCAAGAAAAAAGGTTTGTCGGTCGAAGATGAGCTAAAATTGTAGCTTAAGTGGGAGTGTCACAAGGGCATTAATAATATATAAAAAGAAGTAGAGAGGGTCAAGAAAAGTAAAGTCATGTCTTTATTAGAGTAATAAACTATATAGTCCGCACAGACAACTCAGTTAGTTTTTAGTGTTAGATTGTAGGAAAGAACACAAGATTAAGCTCTGACAGTTGCAGTGTAAGGTTACAATTAATGTAGTGGGCACCAAATACTGATCCTCTGTTTAATGGGTCATTAAGATAGGCGCGAGAGGGTTTGCCTAGGAGTAATAAACTATGTAAAATAATAAAATTTGGGGTAAAAATAAATGAATTCTTTAAAGTTTAAAGGCAAAAGATAGGATAGTACTCCTTGTGTGTATATGTATATATATATATGTTTGATTCTTGTTCAGTAAATCACACTCACCTCACAAACTGTTTCACTTCATTTCTGTCTTGTTTGTGTTCTATCATTTGCCTGTGTGAGACTCATAGCCAAGGCAAGCAAAAAAGAAACAATAATGCAGGCGAAGAAGCCAAAAGTGGTGATAATTGGAGCAGGAATGGCTGGGCTGACAGCTGCAAACAAGCTGTACAGAGGTGCAGGGTCAAGGGGGGTGATAGAGGTGTGTGTGGTGGAAGGAGGGAAGAGGATTGGTGGGAGGATTAACACCTCAGAGTTTGGGGGTGACAGGATTGAGATGGGTGCAACTTGGATCCATGGAATTGGTGGGAGCCCAGTTCACAGAATTGCTCAAGAAATCAACTCCCTGGAGTCTGAGCAGCCATGGGAGTGTATGGATGGTTTCTTGGAGGAACCAGTGACCATGGCAGAAGGTGGATATCCCCTCAACTCATCTCTTGTTTCCCCAATCTCCAATCTTTTCAAGAAACTCATGGATTTTGCTCAGGGGGGTTCTTGTTCTTCAAATGGCTGCAGCAGCAGGGATAGTGGTGGCACTGGAAGTCTCAGTGTGGGGTCTTTTCTTCGAAAGGGGCTCGACGAATATTGGGAATCAATGAAGGAGAGGGAGGAGGTGGAAGGGTTTGGTGGTTTTTGGTGTAGGAAATCACTTGAGGAAGCCATTTTTGCCATGTTTGAGAACACTCAAAGGACTTATACCTCAGCTGGAGAGCTGCAGACTCTTGACTATGGTGCAGAAAGCGAATACCGAATGTTTCCAGGGGAGGAGATCACCATTGCCAAGGGGTATTTGAGCATAATTGAGGCCTTGGCATCTGTATTGCCTCCTGGTTTGATCCAATTAGGCAGGAAAGTGGTAAGAATTGAATGGCATTCATTATCTTCTTCTGCAGAAAATGGGAATAACAATGGTGCCATTAGGCCAGTGAAGCTGCATTTTATGGATGGATCAATGATGGAAGCTGATCATGTGATCCTCACAGTCTCACTGGGGGTTTTGAAACAAGGAATCAAACAAGAATCTTGTCTGTTTGATCCCCCACTCCCCAGTTTCAAGAATGAAGCCATTTCCAGGCTTGGTTTTGGTGTTGTCAACAAGCTGTTCTTGCAAATTCACCCTTCCATCAACCTCCCACACTTACAAATGGTGTTCCACCAAGCAAAGCACCACCACTCATCAAGAATCCCATGGTGGATGAGGAGAACTGCTTCTTTATGCCCAATCTACACCAAATCAAGCGTCGCTCTATCGTGGTTCGCGGGGAAAGAAGCTCTAGAACTTGAGTCTCTAGATGACCAACAAATCATTCATGGAGTTTCAACCACAATCTCCAACTTCTTACCCCATCAAATTTGCAATGGGCACACACAGCCTGAGTTTGTCAAGGTTTTGAAGACACAATGGGGCACTGACCCTCTCTTCTTGGGCTCATATAGCTATGTGGCAGTTGGATCAAGTGGAGATGATTTGGACACCATGGCTGAGCCACTCCCAGTAAACAAAGGTACCCATTATCATGGCAATTCTAGTCCTTCATCTTCATCTTCCCCCCCTCTCCAAATCCTATTTGCAGGGGAAGCAACACACAGAACCCATTACTCAACAACCCATGGAGCTTACTTTAGTGGCCTCAGAGAAGCCAATAGGCTCCTGCAACACTACCACTGTACTGAACTATGAAGAACAAGAACAAGAACAAGAACAAGAACAAGAACAAGAAGAAGAAGAAGAAGAAGAGCTTAGCTTGCTGTTATTGTATTATTATGACAAAAATTAGGCTCATTTTTTTATTTTTGTGATCAGTATTAATTATTTTCTCTACATTCATCTTGTTAGCTCTCTCTCTCTTTCTCTGTGAGAGAGGAAATGAAGGTGGGATTAAAGCAGCTGTCTTGGAAAAACCAGGAAACATCATTAACCTTGATGTCTTTACTTCCTTGGAGCCACAAAAAAGAAGAAGCTTCTTTGACAATGCAAAAAACTGTGATTTTTAGCTTTTCTCTTTGTTTGTGAGTTGTGTGTTGAGAGCTACTTTTTGTAGGAGTTTTTAATGATATCTTCATCTGCTAAAGGCTAAAGCAAAAACCCATAACCAAAACTACTTATTATTATGCTAACCATATAAATAAAAAGGATTAAATAATTTGAAAGCTAAAGACTAAAGTGGCAAAAAGAAGAGGTTAAAGAAGCTTTGGATCTCATCATTCTTTGGAGTCTCTGATCTTTTAACAGGACAGGATCCGAAAAAACCGGCCAATCCCCCCAGTTTCAACTTCTTTCAATCAGATTTTTTTTTTTAATTTTTTTTTTGGGGTTTTTGCATAAATATTTATAATTGAATTCTTGCACCAGATCAAACTTGCACAAGGTATGCCTATACCTGGGTGAAATTATGATGTTTTCTGTCACTGGGAATTTATTGAAGGATCCATGTCAGGGTCCCATTTTTCTGTACCATTATGCTGAAAGTGAAATTAGGGAAATCTGATGATACATTGCAAACACTTTTATACACACACACACACATGTATTTACATATAAAACAATCTCTCTTTGTACTATTGTTTTCTGCACTTTTGATAGGTTAAAGGAAAACGATATATCAACTCTCATGAAGTAGTCACATGGCATTGGTCTATTGGATGAGAAGTCTTTCACTTTAGACTTATTTTTAGTGGCAGGGTGACGTTTGTGGGTATTGGTCTATCGGATCAGAAACCCCACTTAAGAATTACTTCCAGCAGCAAGGTGGCGTTTGATTTTTGCCACAAATATTGGGGGTTCGAGTTCAGGTTGGTCTCCGCACAAAAGTGTATAGTTTGGTGTTGAGTCTCGAAGCTAGATTGACTAAATTTACCTTCTCATGAGCCTGAGGTGGGTTCATAGGGTCCAGGATATTGTCCGAGAAAGATGGGAAATCTAGGTTATAAAAAAAAAAAAAAAAAAAAAAAATCATGAAGTAAAACTCCCCTCTCCTGATTTTATTCATAGAAGATGAAGAGTGTGAAAAAAACTGTAGTATACTCTTTTTTGAATGAATCAGAACATGCCACATAAGCAGAGAATAAAAATTGGAGTAAAAACTAGAGTACGTTTAGTATTACTCCAGTCCAAAAACAAAGAGTTGAAGGTTTTTGCAATATCAAAACTAAATATAACACTTTTGGTTCCTCAGTTTTGGCCGTAGTTTAGATTTAGTCCCTCAATTATTTTCAAAATGATGGGTTTGGTTCCTCAAAATTAAACTCGGGACTAAATGCACTACTTTGATAATACCTGAGACACTAAATCTACATTTCAGTTATAACTGAGGGACCACAAATATCGTTTTCTCAACTTTACTATAATAAAAAAATAATTTTTTACAGTAGAAATGTGTCTGCACATAGATAGATATATTGTACAGTAGAATTGAATTTCTTTCTGAAATTCAAATTCAACATTATTTTTTTTTTCTTTTGGAATCTCCAAAATGTCCTTGACAAACAGACAGTAAGTAGGGATAGTTATGGCCATATCTGGTGAAAGTTCTGATTTTTATTTTTTTGTGCAGATAGGGGTTTCTTAGGTTCAGACCCACTAGAAATGAAAGGTCTCATTCCATGCATATGCAGACATACCAAGACAGTTAAGCCTCATTAAACCTCAATAGTGTTTTTTTCCCAACACTTATGTTACCACATAGAATCAATCTTCTGAAACTACAGACAGAACAAACAACAACAAAATCCAATAAATCTGCTTAGTTAGCCTTCTTGTAATCTTGTTGTGCCATTATTTTTTGACTGAAAGATGGAAACTTGCAGTCACTATTCGAGAGTGTACATTGAGTAAACTCCGTCTTGTGGTTCTTTGTCAGTTATCTTATGGTTCTTTGTCAGCCATAACGACAAAGAACCACTGACAAAGGACCACATCCCAATGAGGTAAATCAACCTTGGTTACACATAGTTGACCTGTTTAAACTAAGAAAGTCAATACATCGCGCAAACTCTGAAAGATAGGTATTGTTTATGTTTTTTTTTTTTTTAGGTAGAGTTAAGATATCGGAATTAATTAGAGTTGACCCGTGGATTCATAATTGATGTAACCTTGGATTTTCCATCAACTATTGTGGTAATGATTTCCATATGTTAAGGAAGATGAGAGGCACATATGTATATAATTACAAGTCTTGATCAAGTGTGGGTGTATCACAATCTGCAAAGATTTTTTTGAAATTAATTGTTGGATATTGAATGGTCCAATCAATGGAGCTGTTCATCAAGACTCCATTATTGCAAGATTTTGCCAAGCTCTGATCTCTCCCCATGAAAACTGGAATGGCCCACTTGATACCTCTTTTTCATTCATCAATCACCCTTTGATCATTGTCCATATCATATCATTTCCCAACCATCCCCCCCTCCCTTCTAATTAAACCATGATTTTAAAGAGAAACTAAATTTTTTATCCCTAAGTTATAAGGTAATGAGGAGTCGGTCATTACGTTACCTATGTCATTATTTTTAATTTCTCAATTATCAGCGAAGTAGCACTTTTGAATCCTCCATTAACAGGTCTATCATAATTTACAATTACTTTTCAAAAAAATTAGTAATTTTGCTCTCATATTTCTCTTGTTCCATTCAAATCACACCCCAATTACACAATTTAGTGACAAAAAACATTGACCACTGACCTACATATGTCAGTGGTTTACGTTTATGCATTTATGACCATTAAGTTGTGGAGTTAGGGTACAATTTGGGGGAAGAAGAAATAGGAAGTGAAGTTTCATTACTAGTTTGATTAACTAAAGTTATTACAACTTTCAAAAAAAAAAAACTAAAGTTATTACAACATTTCGATTAGTGGTTTTTCTTGGATTTTTTGCAGTCTTTTGCTTATGCAGAGGGGGGAGTAGAGATGAGAGACTTTCTACGACATTGAGGGGTTTTAGCTTTAATTTGAGTTTTTTGACAACTTTTGTCCGCTAATCTGCTGACAAGTTTTTTTTCTCACTCTTTCCTCGTTGGCTTGACAAAGCTGACAAAAATTTAAGATATATACACAATCATTATTTTCTGAAAGCATACACAACCATTGTTGTTGCTATTAAAGAGTCACGATTATTTTGATAGACCCAATAATAAAAAGATAAAAACACCATTTCACTGCCAACTTATAAACTAAAAGTGGTAACATTTATAATATAAAGACTAAATTTGTTATTTCCCCTAAAATTTTCATTTTTAAATGAAACCACGTTTCATTATTACACTGGTCCTACTGTGGTTTGATTCAACAATATATATTGTTCACCCTCCCACTTAGTGGCTAATCAAACAAGTTTATTACTAAGTTTGACCCCTTTCAACTTTACCCTAATGATCATCATTATCATCAGAATTAACAATAATGCTCTTTTTTGGGATTATTTCTTCAACTTGGCCTGGGGACCATAATGTGACAGGTTTTAATTTAAAAAAAAAAAAAAAAAAAAAAATCTAATTGAGGGCCATTTAATTTAACATTCATCATCTCAACTAATCAATATTAACTAGTCTTCAACACACCTAATGACCACTTTCTTAGGCTATAAGCATTGTGTGCCTAATCTTTTTATTTAAATAAACTTTTATATGGAAATTCTACAATATCAAATCAGTAAGTGTTGGGTTATTTTTAACCCCTAGTAATAGATATTAATTAGTAAGTGTTTTTTTTTTTTTAAATTAGTATGCATTTGTTAGGCTTGAGTAATCATTCAATTTTCTATTAGGGTATTGGCAAGAACCAAACTCATAACATTTAGATATAAAATCATATTTCATCCTATGACTGTCAAAGCGGGCTGATACAGTCCATTAGCCCCGTCCCACAACGGGCCTAATTTTTTGTGAACTTTTACAGGATAGCCCGCGAGCTGGGGTTCATGTAACCCTAGCCTGCCTCATGCGAGTTGACAGGTTCCGCACATTTTTTAAAAAAGAATTCATGATTTCATGAAAAAATATCTTTAAAAATTACAAAAATAAAAATACTAACAATAAATATATTAAAATCATATTCAAGTTCAACCTTAAAATTTTTTAATCCAAAACAATGAAACACACTAAAAATATTAATATTCAAACTTCATTTTCTTTGAACAGGGAAGTTAGATTTGGTTGTGATGTGATTGAAACAGGTCTGGCTGGGATGAAATTTAAACCAGACAACAACAAATGTTTTAATCTTAATTAGTCAGATTGATACTAACAAGACATCATATATTTTATTTTGTTTTTTTTGCTTTTCTATTTTCTCGTTTGGACAAGCAATAATTATTTTATCCTTAATATTTTTTTTTTTGTTGGAGTTTTGCTGATGAGCAGTTGCAACAAAGCTTAGATCACCACTAATTTTGCAGAATATAAATTTAGGGGCATAGGTTTAATTACTTGAAGTTGGCATCCAAACCACTATTTAAAAAAAAAAAAATTATTTATAGTGAGAGCATCAACTGTCACCTCCATCATTTCTTTCTTCATTTAAAAAAAAAAAAAAATCCATGTTTTCCCCGCTTCAATCTATTGGATTATATCTTAGACTTTATAAACTCGTTCTAGATTCATAAAAAAAAATAAATCGAGCAATATAGCTTTGAGATTTAACACCAAATACGTATAAATGAATCCTTACCATACTGCTAAAAACAAGTTTTAAGTAATACTTCTCATCCATTACACCAATGTTATTACGTCTCCATCATTTCTCAACAATCTTTAAAGTTAGAAATCAGAATAACTTTTCCATTCCAATATAATTAGGCCAATGATGATAATGAGATTCAAAGGGAATGTGTGTTTGTGTGTATATTCTTCAGTGGCGGATCCAGAAATTTTTCTCAGTGGGGGCGAAACACTAAAACAAAAAATATAGTTTAAAAAAATGAACACTTAAACCTATCTATAAATATTGTTGGATATGAGCGAAAAATAAAACACATCAAAGTTTTATAAAAATATTTATAACAAAATATAAAACATAATTAATTTGATAAAATAATTCGAATAGAAAACACATTACAAATTATAAGTCTCATTATCAATATAAAATAAGGATTAATAATATTAAAAAGTCATTAAAAATTGTGTTGAAGCAAAAACTCAAGCCACTAATATTAACACTAGTGAATATACATATTGAAGCTGATAAAATAATTCGAATAGAAAACACATTATAAATTATACGTCTCATTATCAATATAAAATAAGAATTAATAATATTAAAAAGTCATTAAAAAATTGTGTTGAAGCAAAAACTCAAGCCACTAATATTAACACTAGTGAATATACATATTGAAGCCGCAAGAAAAGATTGAACTCTAGACCTTTTGAAAGGTGAAATGTATGATTTGCCAATTAATCTAACTCAACTCTTATTAATATTTATTTATTTTCTTATACCTATATTAAAATATGTACTATATATACGTATATACATATAAGGGTTATATATAAGGTGGGGGTGGGAGAAGGGGGGGCAGCTACCCCATGCTGGATCCGCCCCTGTGTATATTTATTTATTTAACTACTAAATATTGTATTGACACCCACCCTTAGCTCGCTTGCTCTAAAGCGGTCAATGATAAAAAAAAAAATGTTCTTTAATTAAAAGGAAATAAATAATTAATTAATTAAAGAAGTGAAGTGATAAGGGAATCTAGAGAAATGGCTTGTAGGCAAGTAGGTAGGGCTTTCCAAGACTTTTTTTTGAGATAAAAAATAAATAAATAAATAAAAATTCTTGGATGCTCATAATGGAAACATACATGTTATGATCCACAACAGATGTTATATGTCTCAAATTTGTTTATTACAAAGGAAGAGGGATACGGGATACCCATACAATCTATGCTTACAACGAGGCTCAAAACTTAGACCTCTCACATAAGGGAGCAATCCAATACCAGTGAACCACAAGCCACTTGGTCTATATGTCTCAAATTTGATATATATAAATGTGTGCGCGTGTGTGTGAGGAGGGAGGTTCAAATAATAATATGATTTTTCTATAAAATAAAAAGTGAAGACTAATCACAGTTATCCATCATAGTTCATTTATGTTTGAGTATTTTAATAAAAAGAAAAAAATATAGTTAATTTTATAATTATTACATTTATAAAATTAACACCGTCATTTTTCCTTTATTTTTCAGTCATCCTAAATAGTTTATCTACCCAAATGGATGAACTAAATCAGCCTTCACATTTTACCTAGAGTCAGTTCTCACTTGAACCCTATATAAGGGTGCACTTCTGTGAGAATTGTCGGTAGGGATTGAACTAATTGGAGTCATCCATCTAGAAAGATATAAGGGATCATAAGCAATTAAAAAAAACGCAATGACATTTTTGTAAATAACTCAAACTTTGAAGTGCAAGTAAAAGGTGTTTGAAATACAAATAACAAGTGCAACCGTGCAAGTAAAAAGTCCAAGTAACATCACTGTAAAGTGCTTTACCTTTCACATTTGGTGCAATTAATGATAACGTTAATTGCACTTAATATTGTTGCTTGAGTGTACTTTATATTGTTGCACTATATGATATTGTTAAGTGCACTCCAAAGTGCTATTACTTGCACTTCAAAGTTCATGTGTACTTTATATTATTATACGCTATGTTGTTGTTAAATGCACTTTATAGTGTTGTTACTTGCATTTCGTGTTATTTATAAAAATGTCACCGTATTTTTTTAAAAATTGCTTATGACCCATTATTCAAAGGGAATATATACACATAAAACTGATTTAACTACTAAATATTATATTGCCACCAATCCTTGCTCTAAAGTGGTCAATGATAAAAAGATTTCCCTTTAATTAAAATCAAAGAAGAATAAGTGAAGTGATAAGGGAATATAGAGGGCTGGCTTTTACGCAAGTAGATTGTAGATATGGCTTTTCAAAGACTTTTATTTAAAGGAAAAATAAAAATAATAATAATAAAAAAAGTATTCTTAGGTGAATTGAACCATGTGTTCCGTCTGAACTAAAAATCTAAACTGACAGTTGGATTGCACATTTATATTTATGTATTATATATGCTCAACAAGGTGCTCATAAGTAGAAGCACACTTTTTATGATCCAAAGCATTTATCGAGATTCGAGGATAACTAGTTTGGCTGGCGTGAGTGACTGTGCAATCTCATCCCTTAAGAGAGGTCGGGAGTTCAAACACCTTCTCGTATGAAAAAATCAATATGGCCAGCACTTTACCCTTAAAGGTGTCTTCTATAATTAGGGTCTGTTCAGGGCATCTCATGGTCCGAAAAAAAAAAAAAAAAAAACATCTATCGAGGATAACATTATCGTTGGTGTTTAGAATTTAATTTTAGGTGGTTAATTTAGTACTCTAGAATCATATTGTGCAATAAGGTAGATGCTTTGATTATGAGAGCACTAAAATCTAGATGTTTATATTGGTACTAGCATGCGCAAAATTTTATACTCAATATTAAAATACTTATAAATAAATATAATTAAAATTGTTTTAATTCAAATTATATTTTGCATTTTCATAAAGTAGTAAATTTTAACTATCATATTTGAAAATATATAGAAAAAGGAAAATATGTGATGCATTGGCTAATAACTGATACTACATTTTTTTTTTTAAATCCAAATTTATTGTCAAACGTTTCCAATTGCACAATTCTAATTACAGAAATACTATCACATTTTTTCTTAATTTTTAACCATTAATCATCTTAGATGAACAGGTGAGATTAATTCGCACATCCTCACGAAAAGCCTAGTTCTCATTTGAATTTTTTTTCTCTTAGGTATAAACAACAAGTAATTGTATGGAAAAAAAAAAAAAGTGCAAAATATAAAGATCTGTCCTTGCACAACAGTTGAAAAATAAATGAGAAAAGAGCATCTTGTAGGATGTGTCCTGTAATTTTGCATGATTCCACAAGTAATGGGCAGGCCACCAGTGTACTCTGTATGTCACCTTAATTACTAAATAACAAATTTATGATATGATGCCATTATAGCACTGTGGACGTTTCAGATCATCATCATACTTTTACTCTACTCTCATCTCTCTTTTCCTGCTTATCATATCCTCCCCTCCTTTTACTGCTTCCTCTTCTTTCTCTTTTAAGCCAATAATAGGATCAACCCTACTCCTGTTCACTAAAAAGGACATCTCTTCACTTCTATTAATCTTTTTTTTTTTTTTTTGTAATTTTTCCCTATTTTTTTCTTCATCGGGTGAATATACAATTAAACGTAAGAACCAGTAGATGGTACGTTACTAGAATAAATTATTATAAGAATTAAATATAACACCTCCAAGCAAGCGATAACTACCCTATAAAAAGAACAACACTCACCTTAGGCCATTTAGGCAAGGCCTTGAGGTTATAATTATGATCCTATATATCTTTAAGTACTTATTAGTTATTGATATTGTAACTTTTTGGTACAACAAGTGGTGAGAATAATGAGATTCGAATTTAAGCATTTTTTTTTTGTTTTTTAAAATGTAACTTATCACCAAATTATATTCAGGAATTAGGAGATATGAATTTGTGTGCTCTATTCAATTTCGTTACTATTGCAAATTAGGAGTGTAAACGAGCCGAGCCGAGCATGAGCCTACCCGTTAATGATAGCACTGCTCGAGCTCGGCAATTGTCGAGCTGATCGAACTCGAGCTCGAGTTTAAGCTTGAATTTGAGCTCAATTTTGATCTCGAATTTGACCTGTTTGATTTACAATTTAAACTACTTTGTTTTATGACTTTTATCCATACATAATTATTAAAATGTTTTAATTTCCCTCCCCTAATTATTTTTATATACTAAATATAATATAATTATATTATTATATTATATATTATATATTATATATTATATTTAAGGCTCGCGAGCGGCTCGTTGAGCCGCGAGCCTACAATACATAAGCTCGGCTCGTGCTCGTTTAATCCACGAGCTGCTCAAGCTCGATTTTGAACGAGTTCGAGCTGAGCGTTGACCGAACCGCTCGCGAGCGGCTCAGCTCATTTACACCCCTATTGCAAATCGGTTATTCAATAATTGTAAAATTTTCGAAGTTATATTATCAAATTATAATATTTTAAAAGTTACATTATTGTATGGAACAAAAGAGAATAAATAAAGGGAATAATCACAGCCAAAATAACTAATGGTACAAACTTGTAACCACAAAATCATAAGTTCGAATCTCAATCCTTTAGGTTTGAGCCATTAAGCTAGGGTACGCCACTCAAAAAGAGAATAAATAAAAGGTTGTTTTGAGCAGAATAAAACCTTTGTAATTTTCGCTCACACACACACAAAACCTTTGTAATAATAATAAGGGCTCTCATGTTATGTCACTATCTGTAAATCAATGGCAGAGACCATTTGGACAAATCAAATCTCAAGAGTTTGTAATTGTTAGAATAGTGGTGGGACAAGAAGGCCCCCCGTTGTCACTGGTTTTAGTACTCTTGTTTTTCTTGCATCAGTTCCACGCCATATACAACACAATCTACCAAATCTACAGTGAACACTTGGAAATTGCAATTTGCAAGATTGTGGGAAAAATTACGGAAATCTATGAATCTGAGGTCAACAACATAATTTGGTAGTTGCCTAGGTATGGGTGCACAAAAGCACAGCCCTTTAAACTAGTTGAGAGAATCTCACCTTAAAATAAATCAGTTTATAATGTCTGTCACAAGTTGAACTAACTAATTAGTTCAATTTAGCCCTTCATTTGCCCTGGGCACATCTTAAATTCTAACACCCAAAACAATTTTAGCAAAATAGTAAAGTTACAACTTCAAACAACAAATTATATCATCAACTCCAAGAGTCTGTGACCTTGATCAAAAAAATAAACATATAATATACTAAAAATGAATATGTATCAACATATAATGAATCGCACAAACCTATATTTTGATTATTTCCCTAACTAAAAAAAGAACATATAGTAGGTTAAAATGAACGTGCAATATACTAAAATAAACATGTATCAAGGTCTAGGATACAACATAGACTTCAAACTCACTAGGTACTCCATACGCATTAGGAACAAAACAATCTGTTAAATAGGATAATCAAGCACAGCTCCAAATATCTTCAGTCACAAAAAGGTTATAAAGTTAACGGGACAGTCCTAACAATGGGTTCCCACCTACAATGTTTGGATTGGTACACTACTAGACTCATACTTCAGAGTAATGAGTACACAAGCACTTAATACTTAGGAATCAGATTTTGGAGCGCACTTGCTTACATGGTCTTTGAATTTTTGAAGCTCGGCCAGAGCCTCCTCTTCAGGACGATACAGCAAATCCAACATCCGCCATATCTGCAGGGACCAATTGAAACATATTAGGGAAATCAAGAACGTGGGAAAAGACTGGTTCCAACAATTACGTTTTAAATGTCAATACCTGTAGTGTACCACCTCCACCTGTGGAGTCACAGTCATCAGATACACTTACAATTGTCCATGGATCAGCCACATTCCAGTGGAAGTCAACAATTTTATCCCTGAAATCAAGATAGATGCAAGGAATTTCTGTTATGGATTTGCACTATGACAGAAACAGAACAAAAGTATTGGAGATTTATATAGTAATGAAGTACTTAAGGTTCAGACATGACAATCAATAACTTGAATACTCCATAATATTTTGGTGTTGTAAAGTTTAAATTTTTATTTTAAGTTGGTAGGAATTTATTAATCAGAATGTTGGTCATCTAAAGTTAATTGTTTGGGTTCTGATAATCTTATGGTTAAGACATTACAGAATAGTTGTCTTCTGAGTCATATGTTTTATATATCAGAATACATATATAGGAAAGTTCTATGGAGCCGGAGAGGCACAGTGCCGAATTCCAAAAGTAGAATATGCATGTGGTCTCACAAGATGTTGTTTAGTCCCAAGACAAGTCCTTTAACCCTATATATGGTTAAGCATATTTTTTCATTTATTGTAAGGGTTCATTGCCCAATGCTTAGTGAGTTGTCAAGTTTAAATGCTTCAAATGGGTGTCGTTAAACCGTGTAATGTTAAGATTCGTTAAAAATCTTATTTACACTACTCTAGTCATATTATTACGTGAAATTGCAATATTCAATAATCAAACTTTAATTCCAAGCTCTAGACGAATTGAAACAATTACCAATACTCTTCGACTCATATGGTCATGAATTGAAAGCTTTTTATTTATTTATTAAAATTTAAAAATAAAAATAAAAAAATACAACCACCACCGAGGACAGCCACGGCTGTCTAAGATGACGGACATGGCCGTCTTCCAGATCTGGACAATCTGGAACGAGGTCAGCAACCATGAATTTTTTTTTTTTAGACGGCCATGGCCATCATTGTAGACTGGTTGTCCTTGACGTGGCTGTCCATGAAGGAGACAGCTACTAGCGAGGATCGCCAGTGGCTGTATTCTTCTTTTTTTTTTTTCTTTTTTTTTTTTTTAAATTTCTAATAAATAAATAAATAATTCTCAATTACAAGTTACAAATATTATTTCAACTACTCTGGTCATATTATTACAATTACAAGTTTAAAAATGTTATTTCAACTACTCTAGTCATATTATTACAATTACAAGTTACAGATCTTATTTCAACTACTCTGGTCATATTATTACAATTACAAGTTAAAAATCTTATTTCAACTACTCTGGTCATATTATTACAATCACAAGTTAAAAATCTTATTTCGACTACTCTGGTCATATTATTACAATTACAAGTTATAAATTTTATTTCGACTACTCTGGTCATATTATTACAATTAAAAGTTACCAATCTTATTTTGACTACTCTGGTTATATTAGTACAAATATAAGTTACAATTCTTATTTCGACTACAATGTCATATTATTACAATTACAAGTTATAAATCTTATTTCGACTACTTTGGTCATACTATTACAATTACAAGTTAGCAATCTTATTTCCACTACTCTTGTCATATTATTACAATTACAAGTTACAAATCTTATCTCGAGTCTCGACTACTCTAGTCATATTATTACAATTACAAGTTACCAATCTTATTTTGCCTACTCTGGTTATATTATTACAATTCCAAGTTACAAATCTTATTTCAACTACTCTAGTCATATTATTACAATTACAAGTTACCAATCTTATTTAGTTATTTCAACTACTCTGGTCAGTTATACAATTACAAGTAACCAATCTTATTTCGACTACTCTGATCATATTATTACAATTACAAGTTACAAATCTTATTTCGACTACTCTGAACATATTATTACAATTACAAGTTATAAATCTTATTTCGACTACTCTTTTGAATTGAATATTTGTAAAACAATCAAGTTAATTTTAGTACTCCGTATAAGATAAGATATATACAAATATATGATACTTCCTCAGTCCCGAAATGAATGTCTCATTTGCTTTTGGCACGGACTTTAAGACAAACAAAAAAATGAACTCTCTTTCCAGATATGCCCTTTTTTCTTTTTTGAACGTAACACTCCTTTTTGCCCTTATCTTCTCAAACTTACAAGTTGCTCCGTACTATTCTTCTTCTTCCTTCATCTACTTTTACCCCTGAGTACTATGCTACAGGCATTTCTTCATCTTTCATCACACAAACACTCCATAAATTTTTGTTTTCTATTCTTCTCTATACACCTAGTAATTATACAAATAATAATAATAATACGGAGTAATAATACATGACCTTAATACTTCTAAAAATCACTAGATCTGCATTCAACTATAAAAATAGATTAAAAAAATCATAGATTGTGAAGTTTACAGATCTGATATGAAGGACTGTAGATGTTGACAGCGGCGAGTGATCAATTCAGGGAGTAATAAAATTTTGGCGAGAGTATATGTAAGTTGCGAGTTTTGAAACCCATTAATTGCAAAAAGAAAAGAAGAAGATGATGATGGATGGGGATTCTGAAGAGTAAAATTTCAAAATGGAAGTGAGAAGAACAAAGAAGAACATGTTCTTCTTTAAACTTAATTGGCAGAGCTTTTGAGGTTTGATAGGTGTACGCAGTAATAAGTATTGTGTGCAGTCGTGGTTAAAGTTTAAAGGGTAATATTGTAAAAATACAAATATAATGATATTTGGAAAGTGGACAATATTTTGGAACGGACAAAAAAGGAAAGTAAGACAGGTAATATGGGACGGATGGAGTATATTAAAACTCAAAAAATAAAAATATTATAAATTAACAAGGAAAATCATATATAGTGTAATTTTGTTTTTATTTTTGCTATAATTTTTTAATGAAATGTAATATATCATATGTAAATAAAATTAATTTATTATTAGCTGTTGTGAGTGAGGATTTGATATTTAAAACTTCCCCTCCATGGATAGGTGACCATGTAGGATGATGAATGTATGGCCTTCCAATTCAAATACAATGACTGTATGGCCTTCCAATTCAAATGCAATGACTCACCTAATAGATGTATTATATTAAAATTTAATAAATTATTTAATAATATGTATTCTAATTGAAAGAAGTTAATTTGATTTTTGTTAACTCCTTTTATATCCTTTATTTTATTTTTATGTATTTATATATTTTGTTAAATACTTATACATAAGTTTTATATTATTAAACATAAATTATATCATTTGATATGGGATGATCAAATGGCATAAAAAAAAAAATGGGAATCACAAAAAAAAAAAAAAAAAAAAAAAAAAAAACGGTGCAAATGGTAGCAACTATCTTCAGAAAACGATATGATCAAGAAACATGAAGAAAGCAGGATAAAGGCTACTACAGAGATTTAACATATATAAATCCAGTTCGAGCACTGATAAAGTGTATGGTATGGTACCAACCTGTGCCCAGCATGCTGGAAAAATAAACCTGGAGCAGGTGTCTCATTGTCCTTCTCACCAACCTGAAAGAATATGGAAAGAGGCATCTCATAAGATTGTCCATATGCTAAATTAACCTTGGAGCAATTATGTCATTATTATTGCATTAATTATTTTGCTTGATAGTTTTTCCTATGATCACTTTACCTTATCGTAATCCCAAATATTCAAACGACCATCCTCTGCAGTACTCCCAAATACAGAGGACCTGTCTGGACACCACTGGGGAAAAAAATCATTTCAGTCTAGCTGTGGCGATCTGAAAATCTTCTAGCAAAAGTATTGAATGTGAATCAGAAGTAGAATGAACAAAACAACCTACTTAATACCTGCACACAAAGAACTGCTGCTTTGTGATTTTCAAAGATATGGACTGGTGAGCCAACTCCATTCGAAGTTAAACTACGTCGATCAAACAAGCGGACAGAATTATCTGCAGATCTGAGTGATATCACACATTCACACAGAACTAGTGAGTCCTTCATAACAGTGATTTTCCATATTATTGATAAACTGGATTTGCTGAAAAGTTGTGGTGAGAGAAGTACCCAGTGATAATAAAGTTGCCATCATGAGGATTCCAGTCAACACAGTGGAGATCAGCATTATGAGCTTTTTCAACCTATATACAGAAAAGTAGAGACCACCAACTTATGTAAGAACTTGGAAAAGAAATTTCTTATAATAATCAATCGAATAAAAACGCACAAAATAGAATAGAGATTCAAACTACAAAAAGATCATTCAACCTTTACAACTGGACTAGTACCAACTCGAGCATCCCATAGAATGAGACATGAATCATCACCAACACTACAGAATTCCTGTGAACTGTGCCAGGACCAAAAACGAAAGTAAGAAGACTGATAAGAAACCTTAGATCACAAAAGAATATAGGAGGCTAAATCCAGCTACCTTGATGGGCAGAACTGAACATCTTCAACGGTATCCTCATGGCCTTGGAAGATTCCACGAGCTTGAATAGAGGGATTATCACCAGCCTTAATAGATGAACCAGCAGGTTTTTGTGCATCTGTGCTCAATGTTGATATATGATCTTGAATACTCCACAGTACCACAGATTTGTCCTTTCCTATAAAGTAAAAAATAAAAATAAATCACACAGGCATGCACAGCTCATCTTGATGTACTCAAAGTATCCATATCATTATATTAGGCTAATGAGGAAGTTTCAGTGTGACAAAAATGAGTAATCAACTTATATATGGAAGAAAGTAATTACGGAGTATAAATTAGCTAGATAACCTAAGATGCAATCACACCATAAAGATTGAGAGTACAATCACATAATAGTGGAAAAAATTCCAACCTCCAGAGAGCACAAAGGGTTCAGTGGGGCACATTGCCAATGCAAATTCTGCATTCTCACTATGTCCAATCAATGTCTGGTAGGAAAAAAGGAGGGAAAAACAATTCAACTAGTTGGTTAATACATTAAGAAGAAAATTAAAAGTGCAACATATATTGTTAAACTAAACCACATTTATTTTCTCCAAGAAGGTCTAGAATTGAACCAACACTAAGAAAGAAATTGAGGATTTCAATAAGAAGAAAAAATAACCCTTACAAGTATAATTCTTTGCAGTCTACATCACTCGTAAAGTTCTTGACTTAGAAAGAGTACATGGGTTTCAAAATGCAATACAGACCCAAAATAGTTCCCATTCTTGTGTTTAAAAGAAGAAACATTTGGAACTTGTAATTCAGGAATAATAGTTTTGATAACTTCACCACTCATCATAGATTCATATTTCCTCAAAACTCCAGGACTTTATAAGGCATATTTGTTTGCCCATAAAATTCTTGCCTTATACCAGTCAATGACTTTCAGGATGCAAAGAGAGAACAGTGTTTACCATTATGTTCAAAATCAACAAGTGAGAACATTTGGAATATGAGATGCAAACATAACAACTTCAATACCTTCCCCTTAATCATATATGCCAAAAAAGACAGGAGTTTGTGAACTACAGTATATTTCTTAATTCAACCAATAATAATTTACATTTCTATCTCAGAACATCATTACATCAGTGCAACTCTTATAAGAAACAAATGCAGAGCCCTATTTTGTTATACTTTTGAAGTTAATTTGTACCATATTTGCAAAGGAAATATTTTTCAGACAACCAGCAGATGTGTATAAGTGTATAACTACTATTTTTCATATACAATATCCCTTTGCATCTTAAGTCTGAGACCGCTAGCCAGTGAAGTATCTGTGAACTTAAGTTATATATTGGAAAGATAAAATAAATGCTAGAAACTATAAAAATCGCCAAAAAATATTTTGGGGAATGAGAGGATACAAACCAAATCTGGGCGTGAAGCAACAGCTCCAAGAACAGCATGTCGATTAGGTTGGGCTTCCACATCCCAAATTAGAACCTAATGCATAATGATAAAATTTGTCAAATGATTTGTCTTTCAAATAACTAACTAGGAGAAAATATTGATAAGGTGGAAAGGGAGAAAATAAAATATTAGAAACAAGAAGACCTTAAATATCTAATACAAATGCTTACTTCAGGACTATCAGTATGGGTTGCCACTATGTTTTTATTTTGAGGAAGCTCTCTGATTCTGTTAACCTGCAATATAATAATGTTCAAACAGGACATAAACTTCATCTTTCAGTCATTATGCCTAAATACCACATAGAAAGATCTAAAAGAATAAACCACCAAGCTTATTACATTTTTTTACTTTCCTAATGTCTTACCAACTGACATAGGATAATTATAAGGATAGGTTATAGGTACTATATTTCTCAAAACCTTTTTCCATATCTCCTCACCTAAGGGTTCTATTATTTTAAACTCTTTTAAATGTTTTATTATGCCTTTTTTTTAATTAAGTAGACCTTATTAGGACATGTGTATTTAAAATATTTGTGTACAATGTTTTCATACCTCCCCTGGGTGTATAATGGTTTTGTACTTCTTGACATAAGGTGAGCGTGATTCTTCATTGAACTAGAAATGAAATACATAAATCAAATCAGATAGAAAGATTAGAGACAAGTACTTAAGAAGGATAAATAAGGCAAACTTTGAATATAAGATACAACATAATTACGTGTGATATGTGACTGTCTGCTGCAATCCTGGGTCGAACCACATCACAGTTGGCTACAATCAAAGTGTTTGGCACTGATTGATCTGTCTGATGATGAGTGAGGAAAGTGAGTCAAATAGATATCCGAGAACAAACAAATATGGAATACTAAGCAACATGTAAAATCTAAAAATAGGAGATGAAAACTACATAAGCCACATGGCAGTGTGGAAGCAATTAAATAAAGAAGTGAAAGCACCAAAGATCACACCTTCAGACAACAATGTGCCATTGCAGGTATTGAAGATGGTATATTTGTGTAACCGAAATCCAGATAAATATGTATGTAGAAAGGAAACAATAGTTACTCTATTTTACATAACTATTACAGCACATTTGGTTCACGAAATGAAAATTGGAGAACATAAAAGGTTATTCCATAAAGTGGAATAAATGAGGAATATGATAGGAATTCTATTCTATTATTTGGTTCATAGAAGGAATAGCTATTCCTAGCTTGTCAAGACTAGCTAATGCTACGCCTCTCCTCGGAAATTCCTCTAGCAAAGGGAACCACTCATTCCTAAGAATGATATCCCCAGAAATAGAACACTAAACCTACTGGCAAAATAGGCCTATTCCCAATAATGTAATTTCATTCCTGACTTATCCATAGCATCATATCCATCAAGCAACTAAGTCCCACCCCTGCCCCAAAAGAATTGGAACCTCAAACAAGATCAGACAAAGAGAAGAAACTCTGCAACTAGTTTTACTTGCCTACAAACACGGCCATTACTCCAATGTAGCATGATTTTAACTATACCAGATTTAGGAGTGAAACTAAAATTGTTGATACTAACTATTTTGATATAAGAAAACATGATTTATGGCAAAAGTAGGCAAACCTGTTCTGAAAGATAAAGTCGTTGGCGGTTTTTGTGACTGTGCTGCTCAACCACAGGACCCCATCTATCCATTCAAATATTAATATGAGCATCAAATCTGAATAATGTACAGATTCCATCCATTCCAAAAAGTAAAAGTATAGTTGATCAGCCCCAGGTTGAAACTGAAAATACATTACAGGGTAGAAGGGTTCACCACAACCAGTATTTTAGCTACACTAGTTAAAACTGTCAAGAGATCCCATATGGCCATATGAGGCAAACTTTGTAATGAACAATTTCCATTTGAGTTACTTGGCAATTTCCTCCTTTGGCCAATTCACTTAAACAGAATACCATACCATAATGGTTGATCTGTGATCTCAACACAATAACCTATATAAACCAATTTATACAGTAAACAAATGGTCCTGACTCTTATTTAATTATAGTGTCAGAAGAATATTCAATCAATTATGTTTCCTTAAAAAGTAGGAGAATGGAATATTCCAAAGTTTGGGCCCTTCTGCTTTCTCCCCTATTTCATCACCTAACACAAACGTAAATTCAGAAAACATAAACTTCTATCACCAAATCGCAACACTTCACAAGCTAACAAACCTCATGCATACAAAAGCAAGTAAATAAAACGCCATCATTCTCACACAAATCTTTAGGCAACTTTTTACCAGCATTAACAACTGCACATATACACTAACAAGCAGGAATAGAGAGCTCCTGGGAGCAGATCAGGAACTCTAGGGTTTGAGATCGCAAACACCAAGAGAAATTCTCCCAAAAGCTGAAGAACAAAGAAAAAAAAAAAAAAAACGATAGCTAAAACGGCGTCGTACCGGCAGGACAGTGACGGCCATACGAGGTTATGATTAGCAAACCAGTCATAGAGGACGGGAACGAGCGACTTCCACTGCGCGTACTTCTCGTCAGCTGCGGCAGCGGCGGCCTTCTTGTCAGCTCCAGGTCCTCTCATCCTGGGGGTGGCGCCGGCAGCGGAGTGCGGCTGCTCGCGATCTCTGTCCTCCTTGGACTTGGCAGAAGAGCCCTTGGGACGGCCGCGCCTCCTCGGCTGCTGCTGAGGAGTTTCCATGGCGGAGTGAGCTAGCTGGACCTGACCTACTTGGAAATGGTGACAGTAGAAGGAAGCAGCAAAACAGCGGGGGTTTAGATGAAATGACTAGAATAGACTGGGAAGCGACAATGCGAAAGACACGCACTTGGTGTGAACTCTCGAGACCTATTTATGGAAATGTCAATTCTATCAACCAAAAGTCTTTGAATTTTGAATTGTGCTTTCCTCCCCTCTCTCCAAAATTATTTTCCTACTTAAACGGACCCTAAATTCTAAAATTCAATATTAGGGCATTTCTTTCAATACTTAGCATCCCAACCATTAAAAAAAAAAAAAAAAAACAAAACAAAAAGTGATGGGAGGAGAAAAAGAGGAGGAAAAAAAACAAGGAAAACAAAATAAAACAAATTATATTAAACGCATCTAGCGAGTACGTGCATCGCACGCAATGCGCACCAACAGTAGTATAGTAACAATATAGAGCAGCAGCAAAACAATAAGGGGGCGTTTGGTTCACGGAATGTTACAGCAGTCTAGGCAACTGTATCCAAATTGTCGCGAATGGTAAGTCTCGCCACGAGTTCCAATCCGGTGACTACCTGAACAATCACACAAGCTTTCCTTCATTAATTCATTGACTCTTTGCCATGATTACAATCCTACTCCGACTGAAACTGTATCAAAATCTATCTCGCATTAAGCACACTTATTTGAACCTCAACCGAGATAACAAAACTCTCCTTGAATTTAGCCCTAGTTTGATCAATCGGAGGCCTCTCCTATATAAATCGCCCTACCAAGGTAATTTTTTCTTCTTTGGTAGCTAAATCCTTCCATTCAACCTTCTCAAATTTCACTAATGGTCTCCCTTGTTTCAAAACAATTGGATTTAAATTTGAAGATATTAGATTACTTGCCTCTGCGTTTTTACCTTGTTGATTCGATGGAATTGCCTGTTGATTTTGATCGCTCCGCATCGCATCTGCATAGGATCATAATAGAGTCTTAGGAAGCCGCTTCCCTTAATTGTTCCCAGCCTCAAATTGAATTGATGCTCGTTCTAGAATTTCCGGATCGATCGAGATAGTAGGTGCCTTTCCGATTTGGCTCTGCATCACCGGAGCAGTCTCTGTTGCAATTGAAGCATTTCCTTCAACTTATGCATTTGTTTCCAGGCAGATTTCATTTACTGGAGAAATTTCTGAGATTTTTTTCAGATTCCAGCGACCGATCGATCGCCGGACCACCACTTGCCGCCGAACAACAACTTTTGCACTTATCTTGCTTATTTTAGTTCCCATAATATCCCTCAAAATATACTGTCTAATCTGTTGGAGGATCAAAACGGTTAAAAACTTAATAGCCAAATGATGTAATTAGCAAAGTCAAAATGACTAGGACCAAAATGGTGAAATTAACATAGTCGAGGGACCATTTTGGTAATTTGCTCATTTGACAATTGTTGTAACTTTTAATTATAAACAAAACAAAACAAAAAAGAAAATGTTATTGTTAGTTGACGACCACCCTCAATGCACCCATGCACGGCATGTGCCCACTAGACACTGTTGGTGCACGAAATGCGCACCAACATTGTTTTTTTTCTTCTCTAGTGTAACTCACTTTACATAACAAAAGATCATTTCTCAAAGAACCCGTATATCCTCTCTTTTATTTCTCCCATCCACCTAAAAAAAAAAAAAAAAAAAAAAAAAAAAAAAAAAAAAAAAAACCCACTAAAAGCTCCATAAAAACTTTTGTTGCACATGCTCTTAGAAGTTAGAACATCCGAGTGAAATAGCTTCTTTTATTGTACTCTACCCCACATGTCTTTTGAGACTCCAATTAAGACCCACAAACTAAAATTGGGATAGTTCTTCCAAAAAAAAAAAAAAAAGGACATTTGTTTCACTACATTTTAAAGGGGCAATGAATGTTACGGTCATGGGGCAGACTCAAAATGATTAAACTTGAAAAGTTGTATAAATGAAGTACAAAATGTGAATAAATCGAGAATTTGGGGATAAAGGCATAAATGTTAGAAAATCCAAGAGTAGAGGAGACATGGCCCAAAGCTGGCCGAGGTCGCGTTTCTGGGTATCATGACCACCCATCACCACCCTCCCTCAACCCCACCCAACTTCATCATCGTCATGGGCTCATGGCTAATGTCTCAATTTCTAATTTAGATATGGGGATCTCTAATTCATATATCATGGCGAAGATGCAAATGTGTTGAAGTGAGGCAATGGCGATGTAACATTTGTCCAACAAGAAAAATGTAAAGTTTCATTGGTAGGGTTCCTGGTTTAGTAGATTTATAGTTTGATGAGGATTACATATCATAGATGCTCCGCTCAAATACTCAAATTAGTTCTAACGACACTGTCAAAAAGCATCACTCGCGTAGAAATTGCAAAAACAAAATTAGGTCTAGTACGATGTTAAGTTATCAAACGTAAACACCAGAGGAAAGCAGTAAGAACAAGGATCCAAAACCCTGCACAAAGAAAATGGAGGTCTAAGATGAGCAACATACATGAAACAAAATGGCAAATACTGTAATATTCGGTATTTATTGATAACGTACCAAGAATACTGATGCCACTGCACCTGTGGTGAGCTCCTTGGCAAGACTCAGATTCTTTCTAGAAGAAGTAGCCCCATAGCTGCACACAAAAAAAAAAAAAAAAAAAAAAGGTGTCTTATTACCAGATTACATGGTATATAGGTCTTTTGAGGAAGAGAGAGAGCAAGAATAATGTCCTTGTTTTCAAAAAAGAATAATGTCCTTGTAAAGAGCTCGTTTATGTGTATATTTTTTTGTGCTATAGAACTCAATATTAGCCTAGCAGAGGATGAGGGGACAAGAAGCTTTACACTGATTCCTTTCTATTTAGAGATATAACACACACACTTTGAAACTTTCATTTCTAGGCATATCATTATGTTGGATAGAAAAACCTTATATCCAATATGCCTCTCTCAAGCCCCTAAACCCTATCCAGTATCCACCAATAGATTAAATTCAATGGGAAAGAAACCAAGTCATATACAACAATTTGGTTTCTCTTCTTCTCTATCATATCCCAACATACAAGAACACCTCCAGAAGATGAGACATAAAATCACACTTATCCTCAGCCCCTTTCTTTTAGGATGCAAACACTTTATTTGGCACAGCTAGCTGATAAACTAGCAGTTGCTAAGTAAACTAGAAGTGTTTGGTAATTAAGTAGTTAATTAATGTAAAATGATGTAATTTTCTTTCCTTCAAAAAAAATCTTAAAACAGCATACTAATAATTTAATCTATTTTTATTTACGACCAGAATGTTTTATTATAGATATGTTAAATGTTAAATTTAGATTATATTATATTGTATTATATTTATGTTTTATAAGATTAAATTAATCACTATTAACACTTATTTTGTCATTTCATAGTTGAAGAGAAAAGAGTTAAAATCACTTTGTAATTAAAGGGAGGGACGAAAAAAATTATCAAAAGGGAGAAAATGGTGGAAGAGAGAGAGAGAAAAGAAAAGAAAAAAGGTTTTTAACTTTTTGTTATGTCATTAGTGTAAAAGTACAGGGGTAAATCGAAATCTAGTTTGAATAGTTCTAAGAGGCTATAAATTACTCCAAGTAGTTTTTCATAAGCAATCTTTTTTTTTAAAGGTTGCTTACCAAACATCTCTAAAAGCCAGAGGCCAACTTTTTACCAATAGTGCATTTGGGAGAGCGGCTCACCACTCCCACAAGACCCTTACCCCAAGTCCCAACATAGAAAGGGGTTGGAGTGATTAGGGCAGCGGACCGCTCCAACTACAGCATTCCTAAAGAGGTGATTGGAGAGCAACTAGAGCAATAGACCACTCTAACTGCTATTCCAAACATAACCCAAGTCAATAAGCTATTAGCTAGCTTATTGGTGCTGCCAAACACCCTCAATGAGCATGTCCTCAAAGTTTGGTACCCTTTGCATCTAAGATGCCAATTACTATTATGGCCTCTATTCTTAGTACGATTCTTTCATTTCCATTCAAAGCACCAGAGGTTCCTCCAGTAGCCACATCTCACTGCATGTGTCACTTGGAAAGGATGAGGCAATTGAATGCTAAATGCTGTCTGCAATATCCTTATATAGAAGCACCATAATAGTAGCTTCAGTGACTGCTCATCCTCTTTTGTTGGGAGGGTCTTTGGATGGGGTTAAAAAAAATTGTCTAGATTTGTACCGACATTTCAAATTTTGGTTCAAAATTAACATATCAAAGATTGAAGTTTTAGCTATAATTATCTATCATTTCAAAATCAGTGAATTCAAGTAATTCACTTGAAGTCTTGAACATTGTTCATATGACACAGCTAAATGTACCACCGTAGAGAGGATCAATATCAAGCTATTCATATCCAGTAATGAATCTCTTCTCCAGCAGTGTATAAGACATAAATCAGATGCCTTCCATTTGACAACTGAATACCAGCAATTATCAAATCAAATAACATCTAATTGGGGGTAACCCCAGCCAAGTGGCTACGGATGCAAACTTGTAACCACAAGGTCACGACTCACGAGTTCGAATCCCAACCTTCTTGGTTTGAGCCGGTCAGTTATGAACAACCTAGGCTGTGTACCTCCTCGTTAGCCCAAATAACGTCTAATTGGATACCTAACCAACATAGTTCATTTTATCCTTTCCAACAAACCATTTAAGGAGAACATAATTCAAATGCAAAACCTAGAAAAAAATCAACAAAACAATAATGCTTTTCAACATCTGATATCTAATTATAAAGGTTGCTCTACACTATCAAAGACAACAGAATTCATTCATTCATTTACTAAACTGCAAATGCATCCCTCTGAATGCAATAAAACATGCTAACCAGATAAATAAAATATTAAAAGGCAAACCCGTAAATATGAAAAATGGATAGATCGAGACTAACATGAAGAAAAAGGCGGTCACGAGGAGACCAACGACGAGCATGAAGAACGCTAGGGTTGGATACATCGACTCCGGCACCGGGCTCGAGATCGGCTTCGCTGATTGGGCCTTTAAAATCAAATTACACACCAATCAGATCATTCGATTATCGGAACAAATGAGGAAAATTGAGAGAAAACAGTAAGAGTATACATTTCAGATACCATTTCTGGAGATTGCAAGCTAGCGATAGATCTTTTGTCTCAGACCTCACCGGCGGAAGAAGACTCCTTTTACTGAGAAGTGAGAAACACCAGTCTAGTACACAACTTCTCCCTAACGCATGTGTAATTTTGACCGTCGATCTATCTTGATCATTTTTATTTTTATTTTTGTTTTGTTTTGTTTTGTTTTTTGTTTTTTGTTTTTTTTTTTACACCAGTTTAGTACACATATAACCGCATTTTTGTAACTTCGTGGCATGACAAGAAAAAAATAAATAAATAAATTATATATATATATATATATATATTTATAGGAAATGTTTTTAACTTGGGTAAGAGTAAATATGTAAATCAATAAATTCTGTCATTCTCAGTCATATAAGAAAATAGTTTAAAAGTCATATGTAACTGATTTGATATTCGTTTACATGTTAAAGTTTAAAGTTTAAAAGTCATATGTAACTGATTTGATATACGTGTAGATGTTAAAGAGTTTTGAGTCAAGTCTTTTCTTCAACTAAAATTAAAATGTACAAACCAAGATTATACAGAAAATCAGAAATAAGACACTTTATATCTATAATCTCTTCAAAATTCAAGATGGTAACTAATGGCACATAATCTCTTAAGTATAGTTATGGAGCACTAATAGCACAATCTCTTAGACACAAACTCTTCATATCTTATCACAAAATATAAAATCCAATGGAGCCAAATGAATTAAACCAAGAGAGTGTGATATGGCCTATGGTAGCCATCCAGTACTGCTGGTTCTCCAAAGGCCTGAATTAAATTGGTCTGTATTTTTGTTTTACTCGAAATATTGTGTTGATCACGACCATATTGCAGTGCCAGCCAAATTTGCAATGCTTGTGCTTTCCAGGATTGTGCAGTCTGCTGCGATTGGTGAGATTACATCCTTCCATTGCAAAGATACTACGGGATCTGAACATTTCTAATGTATGCAAATGACACGAGGTTAATAAGCAGTACATGACATAATAGTGTAGAACATGCTTCAATGGCATAATGGCATGAATTGACAAATGTAAAAGCAATAACGGCGATGACAGACATTGTTCTGTTTTGGTACCTTTTGGCGTTGAATCACTGAGTTGGATCATATTCTTGAAATCTGCTCTTGAAAGTCTCAACCGTTTTTATTTCTTCCTCTCTGCTTAGCTTACAGTTCCTCCAGTCAGCCCTATCTGCCATATTCAACAAGCCAGCCAAAACCTGCATGTTTTGTACAAGTTTAAAATCTAGACTAGATTGACACGTCTACTATACAAAGTATAGCTGTCTTAGTATTGTTGGTGGAGCACATCTCTGCAGCAAATTGACTCAAATTACGACCTTTATCTGGTTATGGTTAGCGTTTTTATTGTTGCCAAGGATACCAATTGGAATGCCATTTGCATTCTAGTTTAGGCTGCTATTAAATATTTGGTTCTTATGCAGCAAGGCATTCTTTACCAGTTCTAAACTATTCCTTCTAAAAGGGGGAATTATGCAAGGGGAGATGGTTCCTAATGAAGATTGATCAATTTTTATTTATTTTTGGGTGGGGTGGGTGAAGGAGTTGTAAGGAGGATCTTGCAGCTATATTTATCGGGCAAGTATTGTCTAGAACATGAATTGCACATTTATGTCGCAACAGACGAACAACCCCATTTAATAGGATGTTTGTTAGAATCTTACCTCACGTCCAAACTGAGCAGGGAACTTTTCATTCTCCTCCACAGAATGTGAGAGAATTACACCTCCAGGAAGTTCCACATAAAATAGGCTGCAAGAATGATCAAACTGTGTCCGCAATAGTTGTCGCCCTGCTATAATGAACAAAAAGATAAGCAAGATGGTCAGAAACATGATACCTGTGACATAATTCTTTATGGTTTACTTCTCTTTGAGGTTTTGGTACTGGATTTTTGCTGGTACAGATGATAGTGATGTTTACCTTTGATTGTTTTAAATTTAATCCCCAATCTTTCAGCAGCCAAATCAAAAATTTTTTGAACAGAGGACGCCCTGGCTGATGGGATAGGAACTACCTGCAAGCATAAAGAGTAAGAGTACGCAACTACGCATAACTTAGCCAAGCAGAGAAACAAAGCATTAACCATCAAAGGCAGGAGGAAAGTCCCATTCATTCTGTTCAGGGCTTCATATGAGTGAGCCTTTATTAGCAGAGATTATCAGGTACGAATCCTTCACATGTACATGCTAAGAGGCAAGAAACCAGGCTATGAGATCTTGTAGTCACAACTCATAATAACAGTACCATTCTATTTGCTTAGGTTTCTCAAACTCACATACTATAGATAGCATGATACAAAAGCAATCAGACTCAAACTTAATGCAACTATAACCTTGGTTCAAGTGGCCAAAAAAGAGGCCTCCTACCCTAAAAATAAAAAGAAAAGAAAAGAAAAAAAAAAAAAAAAGAAAAGAATAGGCAGCATCACCACGTCACAACCTAAGTTTGAGATGATTATGCTTCATCATATGGCAGAATTATGAAATGAGACTTTAAGCCAAAGTATCATCTTGAATATATACCATAACCAATAGGGGAAGCACATTTATGACACAGATACTCAACTCCTTGATTATCAAGGATAATTCCAAGACTACTAGCAAACTGATATTACCATTAATTAAGACAAATTTCAGTGTTGTTCTCCATACCTGGAGATTAGCATGAGTTCCTCGTTTAAAAACCCACTCAAAGAAAACTGCCTCCTTTCCTTGCTTTTTGAAGTAAGCCTTGAGACCGTTCTGAAACCTTTCTAATTCCTGTTCACATTCAGATGGTAGAGATAAGGTGTTAGGTTCATGCTCAATGGGCAGAATCAACACATGATCTGGTACTAGAGGTCCTTTAGCAAGTGCACAGTAGAAATATTCTCCAACACTCGTGATCAGATGTGACTCCACATTGGGGCTTGACATACAAAACCAGCATTCTCTTGATCTGGAAGAAAGCATCTGTTATAATCATAAGATTTTACCATAAACAGAATATTCAAGGAAATTAGGAAGAAGGTAATAAACATTGTGACTATATCCGGTTGCATAGAGGATTTGAGTATATACACCTGGTGGAGCTTGCAGCTTTAGATCGAGACCTGTCAGATTCATCTTGTAAATTGTGCTTGAATTTGCAATCTGGACCTCTCTCACATTTCCCTTTGTTGAGAAAGTCAAAGCACATACCCCTCATGTACTGTTCCATTGCTTCTTCATCATGCCGGAAGTGGCATTTCTTCCCATGTGGACAAGTCCCAGAAGAGACAAACTTAAAGCACAGCCTATCACCATCGCCATCTCCATGTTTTTGTCTTTTTTGAGAAGCATCATATCGCCAATACTGTGAGTCAAAAGTACTATCATCACCAGGTCTTTTAGCTGATCCCTCAGTTTGGGCTGGTTTGCCAACACACACGTATGGAGATAAAGTAGTGTTTGATGGCTTTGTGCTTAACTCAGCCTTAGACATTGAAGCTGCTGGAGTGGGAGAAATTGCATGAATGAATTTCTGGATAGCATGAAATTGGAAATGTGAGTCATCAAATGCCAAGGAGTACTCGTGCCTATCACTATTACAAATGTAGATTACGTTTCAATAGCTAAACTTCTTTAGAAGTAAATCTAATTATCTTCCTCCAAAATCAACCTATGTTACTAAGTGCCTATAAGATATATCCACCACTATGACAGTAGTGAAACAACTTCTAGCCATTTTCACCAAGAGAAACTTTTATTGGAAATCAAGTCAACAATCTTCTGTCAAAATCAAGTGTGTAACATCCAAACCATGTAACCATAAGTCTATAAGTACACAAATGGATCAATACAATTTTACAAATGCACAAACCCATCTGTGCACAGAACTGATGTGAAAGAGACGGTGAATTAACAATACGGCAGAAAAAGTCTTTTCTAATTCCTTTCACAAAAGTATTAAGCACCACTTATATCCTCACTAGTCCAAAACTATAAGTTTTATGAAATTGCTTAGATCAGAGAAATATTTATTACCGAATAAATTTATCAACAAGTATAATCACCTAAAAAGGATATAAAATAATTTACAAAGTGCAAATATAAGAAGCATGTCAAGATCAAAGAAAAAGAATGAAACAGAATTAAAAACAGGAAAAAGAAAGGCCATGAAGCAATGTCAGAACCTGTTTATCTTTATTTCCAACAGATGCTAAGCCTAGAAATCGAGTAACATGTGCAGCATCAGCATTGACATATGGTTCACGATCATAGAATACACCCATACTTCCTGCAATATGGTACCTACAATATGCACAACTTTTCATTTGGGGAAGTTTCAAACTATTCTAGAAATCCAGTTGATTACAACGACCATGATAATTTGGGAATGTGATACAGAGAAAGAGCAGGCACCAAAGGGTAACAACATTTTTTATCTTTCCTTTCTTTTCCATATTTAATAGTGCACTCAGGCAGTCAGGTGAATGAGTCAATGAAAACATTACTGTTTGCATATATTAAACTAAAATCCATATCAAGGTAATCTGAGTGGACTATATTCCAAAGATTGCTAATTTTGTACTGTAGATTACTATTATCAATTTCGAGACCTTGTAAAATTTTTACATCTGTTTGAGAATTGAGACTTGAAGTCATAGTCACATTGTAATCACATATTCAAATGTGGTCAAATGAGAGTAATGAATCTAGATTCTCTTATGTATCTATAATAGCCTATAAATACTAGGGTCTTGTAATCATGCAAACTATCTACTTGCGTGCCACTTTACCAGAAAGTGGTTGCCCTTTGCCACCATTTGGACCTTCCACCTTCTTATTCATTAACAGGATCTGTAAATCTAACGGCTAACTAGTCGAGCCATTCTATTACAGCAAAAGCAGTAACTTTCAGAAGCTTGATAATATATTCAAGGCTAAGAAAGAGGGCATTGGTGCATCCTGTGGTAGAAATGAAGCTCGGAAAAGCATTTGTGAAAAAAAAAAAAAAAAAAAAAAAAAACATCACAGAAAGTAAAATAAATGAAACCATAAAAGTTTACATATTGCTGTTATTACTTTAATGTCATCCTGAAGAATGAATGACATGATATAATCTTCTTGAGATCAAAGCAATAAATAAAGATGGATTTGTTGTGATGTGATCAGATTTGTGACAATCTAAGAGAAGTAATGAACACCAATTGACTACCTTGTTTTCAGGAAGAGAGAAACTCACCGGGGCTTTATCTCTGCTACTAGTTCAGACACAGTGGAATCACTGCCTGATGAGTCTGAAATTTCTGGTGGAATAGCAGATCTAGTTGTGACCCCACTTGGCCATTCATTAGTGATATCTGATTAAGGAAATAAACAACTGTTCCTTGCAGACTGTTGACATACAAACTCCCAAATAGAGAGCAGGAAAGACAGATCATTCAAAACTGACAAGGATATGTGAGGAATATGTCTATGACTCCTGGCTCCTCAGCTAACGCTCTCAGTGCATCAACATCATCTTGGCTGTATGTGCCGAATTGAGAACCAGTTTCAGATTTCCTACCAGATAAGTAGGCCACAGATAAACCTAGATATGAATGCAGTAGATCAGCTATATTATGAAAATATAAAAATTGAAACTTGTGCTAACTGGACTCTGGACTCTAAAAATTGTCATTCAGTAGAGCTGAGTGCAGAACACAGAAATGGAAAATTTGATACTCAGTGCATGCTTAATGAGCTTTTCTGTACCATAAGCTGATAAATAATCAAAATTCAGGCATATAACTAAAGCATACATAAGCTGCACTTGCCTTGTTCACAGATGGAACCAATACACAGTAAACTACATCACACCAGTCTCAACTCTTGTTGGCATCAAGAAGGAATCGTTCAATAGCATTCCATCAATACTAAAATGCATTAAAGATTCAACACAGCAGAGTGAATGCAGTCAATGCACTATCCAATATGAACCCAATTACTCAATTAGCCACCTAATCCAATATTTTGTCAAATTTGAAATTTAAAAGAGAAAAAAACTTGAACACATAATGCAGATACATTTAACAGAAATGCAGTATTCCACATGTTACATTGTCAGAACGCTTAAATTTATAGGTTATTACCATGAAGAGTGAACTTTCCACTGCCTTTCAACCAATACAAATTATCGCTTATTCTCAACCCGTCCATCTTAAACCCTTGATTGCCCGATTCCTTCGAAGCCGCCGACAGAATCTTCGGCGCACCGGCGCCATAGTCGCCAATGAAGTAGGTCGGAAGAGGAACTTTGGAGCGGCCTTCTATGTATCCATTAAACTCCTCCAAACGGTCAGCCGTTTCCGGGAAGAACTGCCCCACGCACAGCAGCGCATCGAACGGACCCGCCGCTTTGTTCACCTGAAAGTGAGAAATAAAATAAAATTTCAGCAATACTACTATAACAGTTGCTTAACTGCTGAAATGTATACATATGCACATGTGCTAGCTGAGAGAGAGAGACCGAAGAAACGCGTTTGAAGAGCTGGTTAAGACGGCCGGCGACGTCACCGCAGAGAAGGATTCTCGGCGGAGCCATGACGGTGTGTCTCTGTTCGACGGAAAGGGCAAATTATACCCTTGATTAAATTTCATTTTTAATATAGTGATGGTTGATTATTAATGTATTATTATAAATTTATTTATAGATAGTATAATAAATAATGATTCTTTATCTAATGAATTTTCAAAAAAATGTTGAGAACCTCATACACTATTATATTTGGGTCAAAGTGTAGTTGTGTGAGACCGTCTCAACCTATTGAAGCACAAAGAGTCAATAATGACATGCTTGAACTTATAATCTTTTTATATGAGAGTCCAACTCGGATGTCATTTGAACAAAATGTGCTTGGCAACAAGTATTTGTTATTTATAAAGGAAATTGTAATACTCTTGGGAACAAATAAAATGTAAAAGTGTTTCATTTTTCATCAAATGTATTACATTTTTTCTTATAAATAATGTTGACAAGTGTTTGTTATTTATAAGAGAAATCATAACATACTTTTGAGAAAAAAATGTTTTTAAGGGACAATGGTCAAATAAGGCATTGAACTTTACTCAAAAGTACAATTATGCCCTTGAACTTTAAAAAGATGCAACTAAACACTCAAACTTATCATTTTAATGCATCTAAACCCAATAATATGTAATTTACCTGAAATAATCAGCCACCAAGATTCCGGCGGCAATTCAGACAATAATTTCGAAGATAAAAAATTTCTGACCACTTTTAATTTTATTTAAAAAAAAAAAAAAAAAATCCAACAACCGTTACCGGTCATTTTCTTCATTGGAGAAAGACGACCAATGGTCGCATTCCCCAATTGAGAAGGGGACCAGACGGTGGTCTTCTCCATGGAAGAGACGACCATATTTGGTCGCCTTCTCCAATGGATAAGGCGATCAGATGGTCGTATCCTCCATGGAGAATACGACTGGTCTAGTCGTATTCTCCATGGAGAAGACAACCAGAATGTCTTCTCCGGTGGAGAAGACCGGAAAATGACGCTGACATTTTGTTTGGTTCTACGGTCGTGAATAGGGTCAAATGTCTGAATTTTACCGTTAACCTATTGGTTACCGATGAATTGGTCTTAATTGACACATTTTAACAAGTTTAAGTGTTTAATTGAATTTTTTTAAAGTTCATATGCTTAATTGCACTTTCGAGCAAAGTTTAAGGGCCTATTTGACCATTTTCGTTATAATTAATAAACATTTTATTCTTGAGTATTATTACATTTTTCAATATAAATATTAAATTTGATCTTGACCGACCCGGTCTCACATACAATGATTCACGAGACAGTCTCATACAAGTTTTTTGCATTCAAATGTTATATGAGAAGTCAATTAAGCTCTCAAATTTTTAAAAATCATAATTACGCATATCTTTGTATCAAAACCCAACAAATGGTATAGTGACCGGTTATAGTAGGTCGTTAGAGTTTCAACAATGCTTCGTTTACCTCTAAAAAAAATGACAATTCGCCTTCTTCAAAGAAGGTGATTGATGATTATGTGTCCGTTGCCAATCTTTTTTCAAGATGTAAACGAAGTATCGTCGAAATTCTAACGACATGCTATTATCCGTCATTAATATAATATTGATGTGCGTAATAGCAATTTTAAAAGTTTAAAAGACTAATTGATTTTTTATATAATTTTCAAGAATATATTTAACAATTTTCTCAAACATATTTTTTTGAAAATCAATCTGCAGATTGTATTAATAAATCAAAGCTGTAATAGCGTCAGCGGGGATAACATCCCAATACATAGAATGATCCTGAGTAAAAGCTAAGGAATCTAAATTATGAGCATGTAAATTAACCTGTATAGGGACATAATTAACGAAATATGACTAAATAAAGACATAACTGTTCTGCATTGGTCAATCGTGACCCCAACATAAGAATGGATCGGTGTGTTTTGCTACTGCAAAGCACCACGTAGTACCATGCAATCCGTGAGCAGACATACTGATGTGATGTTCCTTTCTAGTAGCTAAGATAGCGCCCCCTTATATGCCTGTGCATCCGCCATAAGTGGTGAGAAACAAAATGAATTATAGTGATCAGCCTTATAAGATAGATCATGATCTATGGTATAAATGTATAATGATTTGTCGAAAAGAGCAAATTATTGTGTGAACCATAACAAAAAGTACATTTTTAATATAATAAATATACATTATTTGTGTACTGAATGTACATTATGCAAAATAATGTACACTCAGTACGCAAATAATATACATCCCCTGAATACAATGTACATTTTTAATATATTAAACGTACATTATTTTTGTATTGAATGTACATTATTGTACAGTATACAAAATATGGTCCATACAGTTCAATCGTTATGCACACGAGTAACAGTGCCGTTAGGCACTGTTATCTCCTTTTATTTATTTATTTTAATTTCAGACCTTTTCGTTATAGGAGTATATGTTCATAATTTTATTACTATATGTTAATAACTGTACATTCATAACTCCATAACTGTACGTTCATAACTCTATAACTGTACATTCATAACTCCATAACTGTACATTCATAACTCCATAACTGTACATTCATAATTTTCGAAGCTCTATGTTCACAATTTTAGAGCTCTATGTTCATAATTGTAAGTTCATAATGTCAGAGCTCTTTGTTCATAATTCGATCAATAACTGTACATTCATAATTCCATAACTATAGATTCATAATCTCATAACTATAGATTCATAACTCCATAACTGTAGATTCATAATTCCATAATTGTACATTCATAATCTTCGAAGCTCTATATTCACAATTTTAAAGCTCCATGGTCATAATTTTATCACTATATGTTCATAATTGTAAGTTCATAATGTTAGAGCTCTGTGTTCATAATTTCATAATTGCATAACTGTACATTCATAATCCAAAAAAAATAACACCGTTAACGGCAAAACATGCGCGTTTTTTTTTTTTTTTTTTTTTTTTAAACTAAATGACGCATTTTTTTTAAAAAACGACGTCGTTTTGGGTCCGTATTCACAATGAACACGGGTCCAGGGCATAATTTGCCCATATATTTGGGTGGACCATGGTTCACACAATAATGATTTATCGAGAAGACAATGGGCTTTAAAGGAAATTGTCCAAATAGAGTTAGAGGCAATGGGCCTTTACAGAAAATGGGGCCCAAAAACCATTTCAAAAGTCGGGCACACCTAAGAATAAACGGAGAATCTTTATTATTTACTTCGTTACTGCTTGAAAACGACGCCGTTCACTCTTCGTTTGGCGGTGAGTTGTATTCACAACGTTTTTCTCTGCGAAGAGTTGTAAGCAGTGAGAGAGGTTCAGTGAAGTGCTGCGATGGCGGAGAAGCCTCAACCGGTTCAGGTCTTGTACTGCGGAGTATGCGGGTTACCCGCCGAGTATTGTGAGTTCGGACCGGACTTCGAGAAATGCAAACCCTGGTTGATCCAGAACGCGCCCGATCTCTACCCGGATCTCCTTAAAGGTTGAACCCTAATTGCACCATTGATTTGGGAATGCATTTCCGTATGTGTATGAATTGCTATTCCGTTTTTTATTTGGTTTGTTATAGTTTTATATTTCTAAGATAAGTTTCCTTAACTAAATCGTTTAATTTTTGCGTATTCAGGAGCCGGTGGAAAAGAAGCAGATAAAATATCTCATCAGCTCCAATCAACTTCAATCTCCGATGGTAAAGTTGTTTCCTGTGCTCTTGTATCTATGGTGTTGAATAATTGCAGTGACGTTAAAAACACTTAGAGTGCAATCTCGTTCCATAATTGCTTCCTCTAAAATACTACATTTGAAATTTATTTGATGCTGGCATGGTGGTAGGCTAACACCAAGCTGTACTGAATGTATGCTAAAAGAGTTTTCACTCATTGCGAGTTGTGATTTTGGAGACTTAGCGTAATGCTAAAATAAAATAGTTTTCAACTATTGGAGACCTTGGGTTTAATGGTTTTTCTATTTTGAATTAGTGTTCAACAATTGTCTTCTACTTTATAAACTTGAATTAATGTTCTTGTTTCTTAGCTGGAGCAGGTTCTTCAGCTCCTAAGCAGGAAGAAGTGAAACGGCTTCCAGGTGGAAAGATAAAAAAGAAAGTAAGAACTTATGAAAATTTCATGTTTAACAAATGTATGCATCTTTTATCCGTGGGAATATGACTTCCTGACTTGACTTGTATGTCAAGATACTTATTCGGTCATGGCTTACATGGGCCATCACGACTTCCAAGTTGATGAGATTTTTGTAGATACTTCAGGATGTGTGTCCCTCAAAGAAGTGGCAGTTTCAGTCGTTAGCTCTAAAATTATTAAAATGTTATGAATCTGGGTTTTTACAATAGATACTGAAAATTCTCACCCCTGACCTAACCAAATGGTCCAAGTATTAGGACTTGAGGAGTATCTATTTCTTTTTTCCTGGTTGTTTGCGCTTCCAATAAGCTGAACTCACATGACCATGAAGGTATGGGAGAGTTTTCTTGAAATTTCTGTTCCCTGCCTAAGAGTTTATATTTCCTAAAGAAGTTGGCAAAACATTGTAACTCAGTGTCATCCCCATATTATGTACAAAATGAAAGTAGACCTGAATCAGTTTTCTGGCCTTTTCCACGGTCGACTTACTTCCTATGTGTCCCACTCACTGCACAAAATGACTAGTTTTGTTTTTACTGGTGGCCCCATTGTAAATCCCTCTCACACTGCTTCCAGTTCCATGTGTCCTAGTGAAAATCTTTTCCAGTTACTACTTCCTGAATGACTTATAGGAGGAAGGAAGTGAAACAGATCCTAGTAACTGATTAAAAATCATCTCAATAATTAAAGATAGGGCCAAACTTATGTGATATTTTGTGGGAGTGCCTTTTGCTATGCAGTCTGAAAGTGTGTATAATCCAAGTTTCAGGATGAGCCAATTTACCATCAACTTTGTTGAATTCAATCCTACTATTTCTAATAAAACGTCATTTGTGGTTTCAACGAAATGGCTTCTTATAAAACATCATTTGAGAGGCAAAACCAAATGGTAGATTGGACTTTCTTTAGCACTTTCCATTTGTATTCCT